TCTTTTAGGAGAGCCCACCAGTAGCTCACTGGGTAAAGGCCTCAAGTCTGATTATTGAGTGTGACCCCTGTAACCCATATAAAGATGGAAAAGCAGAACTATCTCTACGAAGTTGTTCCTTAACCTTCACAAATGTGTCATGGCATGTGCATGCCCATATACATATAAAAAGTAATAAATATATTTTTAAAAAGAGGCATGGAGAGAGACATGGTCCTGGTCATATACACAACCAACTAGCAGTATCTCAATACCTGCATAAAGAGAGAGAGTATGGCTAATATTTGGGTGCCATATAACAGGGACAATTTGGGTCATCCCAGGTAAAAATTTCATTTAACCCAAATTCCAATTGACATGGAGATCATTTATGACCCCATTTAGAGATCAAAAAAATTATCATTCTTTTTTTTCATTCTTTTTTTATTTGGCTTGGTGTTTTTAATGTGTGTGTGTGTGTGTGTGTGTGTGTGTGTGTGTGTGTGTGTGTGTATGTGTGTGTGTGTGTGTGTGTGTGTATACATGTGCCACACATGTGGAGGTCAGAGGACAACATGAAGCAGTCAGCTCTCTCCTTTCACCGTGCAGGCCTTGGGGATTTGAACTTGGGTGTCAGGCTTGGTGGCAAGTGCCTTTACCCACTAAACCATCTTGCCAATCTTGAGTTTGTTTTGTTTTTGAAATAGGGTCTCTCCATCAGGGGGAGGCTGACCTCAAACTTGAGATACTTCCTACATGCTGGGCTCATAGAAGGAGGCTACCTTTCTAAGCTCCTCCTTTATTCTTGGTTTATCAAATGATGTGTTCTGTCCTTTTCCAAGCACACCATGCTACAGATTTTGACTTGCAATGGATACAGGAAAAATTCACTTAAGTCCCCTCAACAAAGGAATTACAAGAGTACCAAGATCCTGAACAGGTATGCCCAGAAGGATGCAAAGTTCTTTGTGGAGAAGCAGAGTCATTTGCCCACATAGATATTTTAAACTAAATTTTATCTTTGAACTACTCCATGGCCTGAGGCTCCACTTTGGAAATGTTTGACACTGTATATCTGTGCCTCTCGTGACTCCTGAATCAAAACTGCAAAGCAACTTTGAGGCTCCCATTCAAAACTTCACCCAAAGCTCCAGGAAAATGGAAGCCAAAGAGGCCCTATTCAGAGTAACATGTAAGACGTGTAAGGCTTCTCTTGTCCCTCCCTGCCCATAATAGACTGCCAATTCCTTTGAAGGCCTCCTAGGATGAAATGTGAGAGGAGATAAGCTCTGCTTTCATCTCTTAAAAACACCAATAAATGAGTAAACAAATAACATGAAAACATGGGCTGGAACTCCAGAATTCATGCATAAGCAATGGCACATTTATCAGTAGTCCCCACAGGCTGCTCAAGGTTGCCAGGCTGTGTTTGGAAGAAAACTGGAGATTGAAGGTAGAGATGAACCAGAAAATCTCCACCCATCATCAAGTGCAGACTTCTTCCTTCATCTCTCAGCCAAGAGGGGAAGGACAGAATTATTTGATATCTCATTGTTGTGTAACGTTTGCTGGGAAGACAGAATCCAATGTCTACTCATCCCAAGTAGGACACCAACAACAGACCACCAAGCCCAGTTTGGTTAATCACAAGCTAGTAGGCTTACTTCTAGGAATATGGGGGAAGGCTTACTTACAGGAGTGTGGGTGACCCTCAAACAGCTACATCACTGAAGTCCTGCATGGATGAGTTCCCCATATCTGCATAGAGTATCCTCTTCAGGTAACCTTCTATAGTCTATGAGCTCCAGCATCTCCCAAGACCACGTGTATCTGGAATAGAACTACATACAGCTGGGAGAGAAGTACAGGAGGGAGGGACATAGCAGCTGGTGTCTCTTGGGGCAATAGCTGCTACATTCAGGATAAAATCAGCAACATTCAGCCTTTCCATCCCATGAGGACCCACAAAACCTCCCAATTATTGAAGCTACTTGGCAAGTGTGGACGGCAGGCCAATTAATTTGGAAGGCAGTGCCTTTTTGAAAAGCCCAGTAAGGCAGTATATGCCCTTGACTCATGATCTGAAAAGTACCCACCTTCTCAGATATGAAGTCCATAGGGCAGACATTTCATACCTGTGAGTATGCGATAATAAAAATACAGACAACAGCAAGTGTTAGCAAGGATGTGGAGAAACTGGGATGGTGTTGGTGGGAACACAAAACAGGATAACTGCTTAGGAAATGAGATGGTAATTCCTCAAAAGCTCAGATACTGAGTTATTCTGTGACCCAGCAATTCTACCCCTAGGTATATACCTAAAAGAAGTATAAGCACAAGAGCCCCTGTCGTAGTTAGGTTTCTAACATAAAGTAAAACATTTAATTGAGGTGGCTCCCTTACAGTTCAGAGGTTCAGTCCATTATCATCATGGCGGGAAGGCAGACATGGTGCTGGAGGAGTAGCTGAGAGTCCTATACTTTGCAGGCAACAGGAAGTCAACTGAGACACTGGATGGTATCCTGAACATAGGAAATCTCAAAGCCCACCCCAAAGTGACACACTTCCTCCAACAAGACCCTACTCACCCCAACAAAGCCATGCCTCCTAATAGTGCCACTCTCTACGAGATTATGGGAGCCAATTACATTCAAACTCCCACCTCCCAAAAACCCTACAGATGAATGTTAAGAAGCTATTCATAAGCTCTATCTGTAGATGAACAAGTTATGAAATATACCCACACAACAGAATATAATTTGGAAATAAAGATGTCATACTGATACATACTGCAATATGGATGAGCCTTATGTTAAATGAATGAAACCAGACACAGAAAGCCACTTACTGTAGGACCCAGTGTATGTGAATTATCTTGTCAGAGAACAGATGAGAATTGCTAGGAAGAGAGTTAGGGAATGACTGCCAATGGGTACTGGGTTTCTTTCTATAAACTTAGGAATGAAATTTGAAGACATCTGGTATTAGATGGTAATGAAGGCTGCATGACATTGTGAATATACTTTACAAAACCACTAGCGTGCATAAAGAATTTCCATTAAGAGGGGGACCATCTGCCAGAGCTAAGCCTCTACAGGTATTCCTTATGGTAAAACCTATGGTGAAATGTCCAAATAGAACCGGGATTTGGCCAGCACCACCAAGCTGTACAAAATATGTCAGACCATTCAATCCCATCTTGCCTTCCAGGTCTTTGTATGGCACCAGGCAGGACACAGTCTTAGTTGTTTAGGCTATTTCCCATTTGGGTGACTTTGCAGTTCAGTTTCAAGTTTCTATCTGTACTACCTAAGCCCTCTGGAACATTATAGAAGCCTTCATTATCCATGACAAGCTGGCAGCCCAAATTGCTGTTCTCAGATGGGAGTTGGATCCTTGAACCATAGCTATGCACACATCAGATACTATGAACTTGTTTTCATCTCCTGAATGGGAAGGTGAAGAAGACACCCCAACATCAGGCAGTGAGAAGTTCCTAGGGGAGGAGGCTGAGCAATGGATGAGGTACCCTTTTTGCAAGGAATCCACAGAAGGGCTGTCTTTGTAGCCAGACTGTCCATCTTTCCCCTCCTATTACAGGCCACAATTAGCTGGACATTGTGGCAGCATTCTGAATGTGCTCCTCCTACCTGGAAACAACAGGGCCCATGGTACACCCAAAACACCTACCATCTTTTGGTTCTCCACAGATGAACTGATTTCCTGGTTCATTGACAACCATCTGCTTTCCAAAGCTTTCTTTTGGTCTGGGATGGGCTGGGGGTGGTGTGTGGGGTGGCTCTGAACTTCAGAGTTCTCATCAAGTTCTGTGTATATTTCTTTAGGGTGGGTTTTGTGTGTGTGTTGTTTGTTTTAAGATATTTCTTATCTTTTTCAGGGATTTTTCTTTCTCTCCATGACAAATATCTCAAAAACAATTCTAAAACTAAAATCTCCAATTAACTGCTTTAGGATTCCTGCTGACCCAGCTCCCTAAAACAGACAAGTATAGCAGTTTGGTTGAAGTCAGTGTCCTATGAGATGTGTAAGGCTGATCTACATAGATGAATGAATTTTAGATCTAGAGCCTGGGTTTGAACACCCAGTAAGGTAAGGTAAGGGCAACAGGTCCATTCTGCCCTAGGCCAAGAGCATCTAAAGGATGGGGATGGCCAGCCAGCAGCATAACCACCCTGCACTCTGGTGACTGTTTTTACTTCTTGACTTCCTCGATATTCTGCTGGAGATGAAACTCAGTGCCTAAACCTTACCACTGAGCTGCAGACACTACCCTTCACCTCCCCCACCCCCCATACCCATGGTTTTTTTTTTTTGTTTTTTTTTTTTTTTCCTCAAATTCTTTTGGTGGGCTCATTACGTCACTCTACTAATAAGAAACCAAAGCACAGACCAAGACCAGATGCCATTCTCCGGTGTCTTGTGAAACCCTGGCTTCACCCATAACCCAAACACAGGAACAGCAGGACAGCACTGTTTAGTGACCCTCAACCCCACACGATTGCAATTCTCGTGAAGAAGCTTCTCCTAAGTAACTATAATGGAGCCTTCTAGGTCCTACATCCACATGCACAGACAAGCAAAACACTGGCTTCAGTTTTAGTGGCAGAAAGTAAACTGTCTCTCCATGCTCCACAAGGAAGGCAGCCTAGAAGGTTGCAGGTCCCGGGACCCAGACAATCTAAAGAATCTTGTGACTGATATCTCCTCGTCCTTACGTCCCCTTTATAGTCTCTCCCATGTCACTTTTCTGGGAAGTATAAAGGACCCAGGAAGGAACAATGTTTCTCTCTGTTGAGTGTCAGTAAGAAACCTAGACAGAGTTGAACCAACTTCTGATTTCCCCCTGATCAACCCATCTATCCCAGGCATTGCTGTTCCCAGGCAACCCTGGTAAGTCACCTCAGTACGAGGCCTTCCAGATTTGCCTTTTGTACATACACACCACCAAACACTCCATCAACAACTCCAAGCACAGGAAACCATTGGGTAAGACACAAATATTAAAAAAATAAGCTGCGTGACATTTATTTTGTCTTGTTAACATTAATATCTGTAGAAACATTTTTATTGTCAGTATAAAAATTAACAGGTTTTATTAAATACTTTCTCCAATTTCAAAACACATAAAATCAGTGTAATCTGCATTCAGGTCGCACGACTGTAGCAAAGTGAGTGGGGTGTATCCAAAGTAAAACACAATACTTGACTACGGAAATTAACAAGAACTGTTATCTTGTCGGATGTAGCTATTAGGCCAGATTTTTGGGTGAGGTCTTGTCAGACGAAGGCGGAAGCCAGTAGCAAACCCTTAAGAAGACAGAAGAAGCTCCCAAACTCTCATCAGAGTAACACTGGGCTTTTGATATTCTGAAGGAACAGAGTACCCGAAGGGTGTTTTGATGCTGAAGATCCTGAAGTTGTTGTTGAAACTCACGGAGAAGTGAGGCTAATACGATGGATTGTAACTCAGGCAGAAGGCCAGCTGCCAGACAGAACCCACTCTGCTATCATTCCAATGGAAGTCTGTCCCCAGACAGTGGATTAAGGCATCTTGGGATGAGGGTGCTGGTACCATTTGATTTGGGAAGCATGGTTTAACGTTACACTGGGGTGACAGAGTTTAACAGGTTCCTTGTAAGTGGGCATTGAGGTGTCTAAACATAGTTATCGGACAGCAGCATTGAAACACAGACAAATCAAACACATCATTTCCCCCCAAATTAGTCATCTATCGTAAATATTTCTCTTCTCAAAGGATCCAATAACCAGTTAAGTCCAAGCATGGATTAACTAGTCCTCTGTGCTGCCTGCATAGAAATGCCACTTAAATTACAAAAAAAAAAAAAAAAAAAAAAACCCAAAAAAAAACAAAACAAAAACCACTATAAATGATTAATCATTTCGTATATTACCAATTGGTTAATAAATTAATGTGACACCATTTTCCCTGAAAGCAAAAGTATTTTTCCCACCTCTGCTCGGTGAAAATTAAGAAATTCTAAGAACAGTATTTAGCAAATATCTATTTAAAAAAAAAAAAAAGAAAGACCAATTTTCTAGGTGCATCAGGACATCCATTTAAAATCAATACAAAAAATAATTCCTTGTAAATATATAATATATATTTATACATAATTTGAATATATTTACATACATCCAGCACCTATATACTGCATTTGTGCTCTGTAAGTATGTGCTGACATATATTTTCTCCAATTATTACAAAATTAACAAGGAAGGCAGAACACGTGTCTGCCTTGAGTCCGACTGGGGCACAATCCAGTACACATAGTGGGTCAGAGAGGGTAGTGTGATGGCTTGCGGCTGTCCACTTATCAGGAAACATTCTCCCTGTTCTGGGAAGGTGACATGCTTCCAACTGTATAAATCTTTACACATGTGCCAAATAACGCTTCCCATTATTTACTCCTCTGGTCCATATGTACAAGTTGACACACACTCTGGAGGCACAGCCTCTCTGCTCAGTGTAAGTAGGTTCCTGGTTCCTGTCCCACGTGGGACAGGAAGACATGTTCGCTCATGTTTTAACACTGCCATTTACGTGTGGATACTGAGGCAGGCAGGGTTCATAAGGCATGGGGTCTGGAGAGAACACAGAATCGTCCCCTGAAGAACAAGAGCTCCTTGTGTCGGGGTAACTAGGAGAATACTGTTCGAGAGGCTGAGTGAGGTCCAAGTATTCCTGTAAGAAGGGAAGAGAGACGTTTTATTTCATCTTGCATCAGGATAACAAGGTGAATACGGTTCGAGAGGCTGAGTGAGGTCCAAGTATTCCTGCAAGAAGGGAAGAGAAGAATCTCATTTCAAACAGAAGCCTCTGAGTCATTTCCATCAGACTTGAGAAAGGACAAGGAACTCCTCCCTCTCCCTCCCTCAGGAAGGATTTGAGAGGCCCACCTCATCCCAGCCCACTGCACAAAGACTTCCCGGAGACCTCAGCTCCATTCCTTCCAGGCTGCCCAGAACTCTTCTCTTATAACATGGCATCAGTAAACCATCAGTAAGTGATAGATGATAAAAACACAGTGAACTTCTTGTTGGTGCTGGGCAGTCAGCCCTGCCCACAGGACCTAGGTGACCCTCGTCATGATAGCTCCTGCTTGGAGCTTAAGGCCCAATGAAGTAGAAACACAACAGGACTCCTTTAAATAGCCAAGCCATGAATATGTATTTTCTGAATTATGTTCTACAGTTGTCGTTTCTAGGACCATTTTTAAGGGAAAGGCGTCTCCACTCATTGCATAATTTAACAGATGTAATTCATTACTCTCAGAAGCTCTCAGAGTTAACAACATAAACAGGTTGGGGGAAGGCTTGGATGCCCTCGTGAATGTTAAATCCATAATGGGCTGCTAAATGAAAGTCTAGGAATGGAAGATTTCAGGCTTGAAAAAACTGAGTTTGTGAAGTTTCTCTGCTCCCCAAGCATCCCTCACTGCTGCCTCTAGACCACTCAGAACTACCCTGGGCAGGGTGTGAGCTCTTGTATGTTTCTGATTGGCCCATGTTTGTTCATAGGTAGTAGAAAAATTAAATCAAAGTCATATCTTATGGCACCCAATGACATGAAATGATATAAAATCACATGAAATAATGTACAGTTCCCAGTTTCAGAGTCCATAAAGTTGTAGCGGAAGGCAGGCATTCATTTATTAACATAGAGTTGGGGTTGTTTTCATGCTAGGACAGCAGAGTTTCGACGGAGACCATATGGCCTCAAAGCTGAAAATGTTTACTCTCTGGCCCTTACAGAGAGTACTGGACAAGCCTGGTTGGAAACTAGGAAAATATTTCTGTGTCTGTTTCTCAATATGTCTCTGTCTGTCTCTCAGTGTGTCTCTGTATCTGTCTATCTGTATGTGTGTGTGTCCTTCCTTCCTTCCTTCCTTCCTTCCTTCCTTCCTTCCTTCCTTCCTTCCTTCCTTCCTCTCTGTTTTGAGACAGAGTCTCAAGTATTCCAGGCTGGCCAGCCTGTTATGTGGCTAAAGATGCCCTTCATCATCTAATCCTCCGGCATCTGCCTCCCCCAGTGCTGGGATCTTAGGTGTACACAATCATGCTAGGTTTACATAGTGCTGGGGGATGGAACCCAGGGCTGTGTGCACACTAAGCAAGCACTTGTATCAACTGAGTTACATTCCCAGCCCCTGAAAAGATTTCTAAACAGGGGCCTTTCTTTTCTCACTGCCTAATGGCACTGGCACAATAGGGTGGCTTTGCTTACATACCCAGAAGCCAGCAACTCCTCTGTGACATGTGGTTTTGCTGAGGGGGGCAAAAAGCACAGACTACAGCATAAACAGCCCCAGTGTTATCAGCAGAGAGTCCATGGAATGTTGGCGACCATACAGTTTAAAAGACAAAAACCACTATAATTCATCACCAGGGTTGGCAAGAGAAAGGGTCGCCATCCAAGAAGGGGGATGTGTCGGCTCCAACAGCATCAGCATTAACCGCACCGCCAGAAACAAACACGCCCACCACATCAAAAGAGGACTTTTTGCTTACAATGATAAAAATGAAATTTTGTCCTAAACGGAACCATTTTTCTTGAGCATGTGGTAATGATTTTAAGAAGGGAAGAAACTTCGATTTTTATATCCGTTAGACAATATGGCATTCTGCTCTCTTATTTTAGGATACATACACATATGAAGTTCAGTAGAAATGGGTCCCTCTTTAAACATAAACATATCAATGTGTAACACTGAGTCAGGGTCCGGGATCATTAAATGAAAACCTCAGTGCCCTTCCCAGTTCTAAATGAAGCTGTAACTTTCAGATCTGATGGGGAAGGCGGGGGTGGTGGTGGTGGATATCACTGGATTCCAAGCCTAAGGTTAAAGGAACTGAGGCTAGAAACAACAATTTTGGCAGGAGAAGAAAGTTGGCTCCCCCCCCCCCCAACTACTCCTTTCCTTTCAACTTCCGAAGGTCAGCTGTGTTCATTTACATGCAAGCTTCCCCTTTGTCCAGCACAAGCCATAGCCAAGAGCACAGGATAAAATTGCCGCATTGAGTCTTTATATCTCTATATTCAACTGTTTTTCTTTTTATCATTCTATTTTTTTTTAAATTAGAAACTAACTGTATTCTTTCCTTTTAAGTATTTAGGAGATTTTAAAACTTTTTTTTAATTGTTGTGAAAACAATTAAAAAATCAACCTTTTTTTTTTCATGAGGGAATATTACTTGGCACATTCAGGGAATATCTTAAAATTCAATTATAATTTCTGGCAGGTGGTTTCCTTGATCAGATTTTTTTGTGCATAGAATATTCTTTCTAAAACATTAAAGGTCATTCGGTTTATGTTAAAGCCAGAATCATGTCTATATTTAGACAAAAACAGCATCATTGGTTGGCATAAATTACAAATACAAAAACTGAAAAATTCTGTGTGTATTGGCATATGCGTGGGTGTACATGCATGTGAAGGCCTTTTTTGATGGGACAGGATCTCTCCTTGGAACTTGAAGTTTGCCCATGAGGTTAGATTAGCTGACCATTCTGCCTCCCCAGTGCTGGGATCACAAGAGAACAGCATCACGCCAGGTTCTGGGTGTAAGTGCCATGCTTGTGTGTGGATCACTCTATTGACAACTAGCTATACCCCACACACACACAACTCCATCCCTAGGATAAATACCTTAACTACAGGCACCAACTGTCAACTTAAAAATCCTGTAAATCACTCATAACAGAATTATGTAATGTAACTCATACATGATATGTGTAACACACATGTCACCCAAAGAGGTCCAAGCCACGTGCCTTTCTAGACAGGCTCACACAGGGCAGGACCACATGGAGACAATAGAATCTCGTTGCCTTTCATTAGCTGGTCAGCCCCTGAGCACCGGCAGCATTCACACTAACTACCAGGACACAGAATCCTGGGCTCGTGTTACATGCTAGTGCCTTCCCACGCACACCAAAATACTACCACAAAACAGTCCCACCTCTTCCTTTCTACACACACACACACACACACACACACACTGGGACACAGCACCAACTGTTGCCATGAGGGCAACTCAGGAGGGTCTCAGCCTCCAGCCTCATGAGTCAGAATTCCCAAAATTCAGTTCTGAGGGGAAAAACCCAAAGAAACAAAACAAAACAAAACAAAACAAACAAAGAAACAAACAAACAAACAAAAAAAAAACACCCAAATGAAAAGGAACATACAGCTTAACTCCACATGATCCCTGCACAAAAACAATAAAGCCACCACCAACTCCGACAGGGGAGTTTGCATTTAACAAACAGGCATCTCCTGAGGCAAGACCAGGCTTCTGGAAGGAAGCTTTTACCTCATTGGTTGTGAGAGTTAGAATCCGATCCAAGTCTTCTACCAACTGCTTGAATGTGGGTCTCTGTGAGGGCACAGCATGCCAACAATCCCTCATCATCATATACCTAGGAAGAAGGGTTTCTCTGGTGAGCTGATGTCATTAAACAACTGGATACACAGATGTGGATGGTTTTAACAGGTGGCATGGAGACATCACCTAAATAACAAAATATAACTACCTACACAAGCAGTAACATTACAGAAACTTTTCTACAACCCAGAGTGCTTTAGGAGGGCGACTCTGCATTCCAAATAGGGACCTCTGTGACAGTGTGACCTACCATGACGTTGTGGCACTTTCCTGTCCTGCCTGAACTACACCAGGTTTTTTTTGTTGTTGTTGTTGTTTTTTTTTTGGGGGGGGGTGTTTAAGTCTATTGACAAAAGTTCCTCAGTTTAAATATATATATATATATTCAGAAACCACAACTTGAAGGTTTATACAAACTAATCTGCCACCACAGAGCTTTGAGCGAACTTCCTGATTAACTCTTGGATAGTCCAAGCTTCCCACCTTATCTTGATTATGAGTTTCGACAGACCCTCTTATGTTAGAAAGAGCAACAGGAACACAGGCACACAATAAATGCCTTTATATAATACTCTATAAAAAGTGGCCATTCATCAGCCCTCCACTGTACACCACAAAGTGCTGGTTGGGATTACTATTCTGAAATCCCCATGAAGGAGCACATAATAGATGGCAGTCTCTGGAACAATCGCTTTCTTAGTTTGCCCCAGAGGAGGGGCAGAACCTCACTGCACAAGGCACGAGTCATTAACACAGCACAATTTTACTTACAGTGCAAGGAAAGTTTCTAGAAACCAGCTCATACTTTCATAAGCAGAAATGGTACCCTAAATATGGTACCAGGATAAACTTTGGGTTCTCTGCTTTAAAATATGGGTATCCAAACACACTAGTCCATTTCTTTCCTTCTCTATTTGTCTGTGTGCATGTGCACACATTTGGAGGTCATAGGACAACCTGAATATTGTTCCTCAGAAACCATCCACTTTTATTATTTGAGATAGGATCTCTCACTGAGCCCTGGAGGTTTGTGGCTTGAGGCTAGACTGGTTGGCTAGCAAGTCCCTAGGATGTTCCTGTCTCCCTCCACCTCTGCAGTCTTTGGGATTACAAGTGCATAAACCACGGTACCCAGATTTTTATGTGGGTGTTGGCAATGAACTCTGGTCCTCAATCTTGTGTGGCAAGCACTTTACCAAATGACTAACTCCTTGTCCCCATCACTTTTTAAAAAATAATGTATTTTCATTTTATTTTATTTAGAAAGGGTCTTCTGCAGCCAAGGCTGGCCTCAACCGTATTAGAACCTCCCTGCTCCAGCCACCATGCTGAGTTGTCATGACAATTATCAGTGACTAAAGGTGCCTTGGAAAGAGTGCTTTTCCTACTTGGCATTGCTGGTGCTGTGAAAACCTTGTACATTCTATAGGGGCAGCCCTGTGGCATTCTTGCTTGATATCTGACCTACAAGTGTTCATGTCACTGCGTGGCACAGCACACTCCTTCCCATGGACATCCAGATTTAAGGTCCACTCCATACACTTTGGAAGATTGTTCTTTCTTTTGGACAAGCCATAGTTGTCTATCTCAGTGCTGGGGTTGAGCCTAGGCAGCCTCAGTGACTCACGACTCTTCTTGCTAGAATGTGTTTAGAAAATGGGGCCCTGAGGAACCCAGGACATGTCTGGAGAAACAGGATAGATGTGAGCCTACTACTTTGTCAGCAGGGGTGGCCATAGTCCTTACAGCTCATTGGTGCAGTTGGCAGGCTTGTCCATCCTGTGTCCCTCCTTGAGCAGCTTAAAAAGTTCCTCCACAGGAATCCCTGGGTAGGGCGAGCCCCCTAAAGTGAAGATCTCCCACATTAACACCCCAAAAGACCAGCTGCAAAGTAAAAAACACAGCATTAGTAATGTGCCCGGATCGCAGAAACCTAAACATGTCAGTTAAAAAAATAAACACCCACTCGCTTCTAACATCCATAGATAAATGAGCCCTCCAGCAATCCATCCTACATGCCCTTTCCTGACCCCCCAGGAGCCTCCCTAAATGAGGACAGCATGTGAATGGTCTGATGGAATTTTCCATTAATTGACAAAGAGCCACACCACTGTCTCTTAAGGTTCTTTGTCTTTTATGTGGTGCTAACTAATGTGGGAGGTCTAGACTCCTCGACTTCAGGCTTCTTCTGTCTAAATCACCCATCTCCCTTTGTGGCTGACACAAGAACGTGGATCTACAGAGGACAGCATAAGGCCAAAAAGCTGACTCTGTCAGAGGAAGCCTATCCCAGATGGCTGGTGGAGCCCTGTAGGGCAAAGATTCTGTGACTTAAGAGTGACGCCAAGGGAGTCAGCACAGGGCTGGGCTTAGCGAGGAAGAATTCCATGCCCCCAGAAGAGGCTCAGCCAACAGAAAGTGAGAAGACCTCACAGGGCGCTGTTTATTCTCAGATAACCACATTTGGATCTCCCCAACCTACTTTGGAGGACTCAAGGCTGGGAGACAAGCAAGCAGAGAATAGCAGGTTGCTTGTGTCCTGCAGCTGTGGAAACTCATGCATCCTGACTCTAGAAGGTCAGTTTCAACACTGAAACTGTCCCTGCTTTTCTACCAAGCATGAGCAGGGGCCACAGTATTGGAGGGGGAGACACTAGTTCAGAGCCTCAGTATATTCATCTACCAATAAAAACTACTACTCCTTCCCTTTGGGAAGGCTGATGGGACCAAGCAAAACCTTTGTCCTAAGGAGTAATTACAAAGCCATAAAAACTTTTAAAAAGGCAGTGGGGGGCATCTTTTACCCCTTTCCTCCCAGTAACATCTTTCAGCTAAATTTCCCAATCTACAATATCAGTTGGAGCCTGGCTCTAACAGTAGTTTAAATGAGTCATCAGAGAAATATTATGTAATTTCTACTGTATTTTTAGAATGTTATCAGAGGCTAAGACAAGACTTAAAAACTTATAATAAGCACACTGAGCAGATGTGGTGATAATACAAACTGACCATGCCTCATCCAGCACTAAGGACAAGCCTGGGCCAGAGAAGAATCACAGTCCCCTAACCAGGAAAGGCTTCAGGGTCTTCTCTCCTCCCATTTTTATAAAGATCGGTTCACACTACATATCCCTGGCTAGCCTTGGAGTTGCTACATGTAGTCTAGGTTGGTCTTGAACTTGTGACTCTTCTGAATGCCCAGCTAAGAGTGAAGAGCGTGCCACCCACTTGACAAATGAGACAGAGTGTGGTGTGAGCATCTGCCATCCATCCGTAATGGGGCACAGTGCTTCCACTGTGGCAGGAGGAGGATGGTGCCCCCCACCTCCCAAAGGCAGGCAGATCAGTAACTAAGCCCTGGGTACCAATCTACCAAGAGCTCATGCCATCTGAGATCCCTGACTCCTATGCGTGCTATGAACATGTGGAAGCTAAGTATTTCTGCAACTCCACCCATATAAGAACCAAGGACAGAGGTTACTTACACATCACTCTGATGAGTGTAAACTCTATCAAAGAGGGCTTCGGGAGCCATCCACTTGACTGGAAGTCGCCCCTGTAAGAAAATATAGAAACCCCTGGGTTTTACAAGAGTAGTGCAGAAGGCCCAACATGGCCATACCCTATGTAAGAAAACTCTCATTTTTGTAGCCCAGACAAGCCTACAACTTACAATTTACCCATGGTAGGCTCAAACTCTTGGCAGTCCTCTGCCTCAGCTTTTGAGCTCCCACACCTAGCTTCCTAATGCTGTCAAAATTTAAAATAAAGGACTTAAGAACTACATCAGTTGGTCAGGTCCTGTAGGGGCTTCCTATATGTGTGGAAGGATATGCTGAGCTTAGGAGAAAGTCTGTATATTTGCTGGAATATAGAGGAGGTTACTACAAACAGACAAACAAACCAAGGTCCCAGATCAAGTCAGGACTTCCTGGCTGGTTCCAAGAACTGGGTCTGAAAAGTAGGTTTAGGCTCCTGTCTCTTCCTCATTTTCCTAGTGTAGTGTGTCTTGAATTTGGGCTCCAAGCCTGAGCACCCATCTAGCACCCAGTAGTAGGTATCCCATGCTCCCTCACATGCCACTCCAAGGTATTCATCTAAACCCCTGAGTGGAGAGAGAACTTTCTAATGGGTTTTATCAGTTTACTACTAAGGGCAGAAATAAGCCCCAAACCCCACACATAATGACTAAGATGCATTTCTTTGTATTCTCATTATCATCTGTCTTCCTAGCACATAGCTATATCCTAGTCAGCCTCTGGACAAAATAGAACCCAGCAAACTTCCAAGCTCTAGTCTTTGCTTTGAGAGCTGAGCCATCTTGCCAACCCTATTATGAAGGTTCCCAAGAGAGCCATACAAACATTTGGAGGTTATTGATTGTTATCCTGTATAAAAGAGTGCTCCATACATACCAAACCTATCTCAGATGTAGCTTAAATTGGCTGATGGAGAGTTAAGCAAAACAACAGAATGCAGTGTGGAGAAAAGCCCCCATAGTTCTCCCACTGATAAACTTGGGTCATTCTGTAACCTTCCCTACCCTGCTCCCCAGTGTTACATCACACACTCACATTTGTGGTCTTTTTGTAATAGTCTATGTTGTTGATATCCCTGGCCAAGCCAAAGTCTGCTATCTTCATCACATTGTTTTCTGTTACCAACACGTTTCTGGCTGCCAAATCTCGGTGGATACACTGCAATCGAGGAAGAAGGGAGAGAAATAATCCCAGTGTGTTTTAAGAATCAAAAGAAAAATAGGCTTTTAAAATAAAAATGCAAGGCAGAAAAACACACCTCAAATCATAAACTGGGTACAGAATACTATAAGAGCAATACTGGGCTCTAAAGTCAACAGGCTAACTAGCATAGTCAAGAGCCCCAAACATGACACCACAATCACTCATTCTAATTTAAATAAACAAACAAAGTTCTTAGTCATCTTAGAAAGTAAAGGTTGATTACATAAATGCATTCTCTTTTATCTGCAAGTGCCCCACAACACCAGGGTATCTCTTGCAGCTTCACACAAACTTGACAATAGATACCATTTGAAAATCTTTGAGTTCAACACTTGCTTTCTCCAGTCTGCTAAAGCCCAACTTTCAGATGACTGGGTTAAAGGCCATCTTCTTCATCTCCTTGTCCCTTCTCTGATAATGTGACCTCATGTCCTACAAACACTTGGTCTCAGTAAGGTCTAGTTCTGTCATTTCTGCCTTCTTTCCCACTCTTGCCTCTAGGCTATATGAGGACCCTCCTCGCTGTTAGACCCAACTCTAATTACCCACTTTTTCCCTCTCTGCAGCTGGACACTGTAGATGCCTGTTTCTAGAAATGGTGTCTTTATTGCAGCCTCTACCACCTTCATTCTCTTGCTTCACTCTCACAGACTCTTGACCGACTCTCCTCTTCCCCTGGCCCTCAAAAGCAAAGAAACTGCTATACGCCGTTTGTGTGTTTCTTCTATCTGTTGCAAACCTCTATCACTATCCTGGCCTCTACTGAGACTGGAGGACTCATTGTCAAGTCATTCTGGGATATTTCCAGACAGTAATGCCCTCTTGACATCTCAAAGTCAATGTTTCTACTCCCCTGACTCCTATCCTGTTTGGTCCCTAAATAGGAAGATTCACACTCTACACTCAAGTCCTGATCAATCTAGCTTAAAGGTGTCCTCAAAGTCTGTCTTTCAGTGCTCATCTCTTAGGCTAGGCTGTAGTCACTGCCCTTCCTCTGTAGACTGCTACACTGACTGTCCAAAGGCTTTCTGGATTCCCCTGTTACATTGCATATACTATGTGCTTCAGACACTATGTCCTTTCCTGGCTCACCGCCCAGCCATTGCCCATCTATCCACATTCTCAGTGCAGTCCGTTACAATGGCCAGCCTGTGCAGGGGCTAAACTGTGTTTGCACATACAACAGGACCTGGCACTTCTGTGCTTGTTAGGATACATCTAATGGGAGATTGCATTGTCCCAACATGAACCACAGTCTCAGGAAGGTCTGGTCACTATTTTTTTTTTTTTTTTTAAACAAAGGACAGACCTTTCAAAGCTATTGTGTTAGATACATGGTAAATAGGACCCCTGGTCACCCACTTCTATTTTTAGAAGAGGTGTGATACAAAGAGGCAAGCATCACCCTCAAACACCTTTCTATAGGTCACGGATCGAGGTTAACGATCACATGAAGTGGAGAGGCTTGGTGTACTGGATGAACAAACTGGGAATGACCTACTGTTAGCTCTCTATGAAATAAATGACCACATAAAAATGGAACATGCCTACGGCTCTGAAACATGAATAGGGAATTATTTTAACTCTGCCCTCACTCATGCCTAAGCATCCCCTGTGTTCACTTGCATGTGTGGGTGGGCCAAGATCAGAGATGAGGAAGCAGGAAAGCCACCCAAGTCTGCATGTCCCCGGCCAGGCTACAAGTGGGAAATGTGAGAGCTCCCAGGGCTGCCTGCAGCCCTGCCTGGGCTGGAGTGCATCGCCGGTTTAGAGGCCTCTTCAAATTCAACTTCCAAGGCCCGGGCCAAGTTCTCCTGGTGGTGTGTGTGTTCCTGCTGACATGTGTTCTTGGGTTTGGCAAGCTGAGTGGTCAGAAGAATCTAGCTTCCCCTGCAGGGGGCTGTGACCACACATGGAGGCTCACCTGGGACAGAGAGGCTGCCATAGGCTACTGCTACCGTCTTGCTCGCTCTAAATCCCAGGGTGCTGGGAAACAAACACCAAGGACTAAACTTGAACCAGTGCTCAAGAAGAAAATAGCTAAAGGCAAACCAATTCCACGGCAGCACACAGAGGTCTGTGTTGTCCTCCAACCTGGAGTGCCTCCTGTCTACAGAATGAAGGCCCTAGGGAAGTTCCCCCACAGGAGCTTAAGGAAGGAAACCCGATAAGTCTGTGATGAAGACAGAGTGCTGGGCCACATGTCTCTTATCTAATTCCCACAGTAACCCATGAGATGTCATAGGTGGGGATGTGGAACTTGCTTTGAAATAAAACTTGCATCCTTGGACTAGAAATAGCAAGGATTTTTATAAATACTATAAGGTAAAAATACTTCCATTGCTATCTAGTTTACTATATATGCCATACTGTCTCTTTCCTTGTCTGACTCCACTTCCTACTCACAGAAAAATGACACTACCATGAGGTCAGGCATCTGAATATTCCCAGAGCTGGGCATACAGTCTGTTCCAGAAACTGCCTCTGGGTTGCTGTCAGAGATCTGCGGTACCAACAGTTACTTGTCTCCATTTACAAACTGTAACTCTGAGGCCCACCACTCCCCCACTTCCTTGTTGTTCTCATTCTAGAACTTTCTCTTCTTTTATAGAAGTGCTACCTTCTAAGGAAAGCATTCTTAAGATCTTCATCCAGCACCCTGCACACCTCTTCAGAGCCTTCATTGAGGATGGGCAGGAGCTAGAGATGTTAAGACAGCAAACCAGAAAAGCCATGTACAAGCATTTACCACAGACTCTTCTGCAAAGTGATGGACACAGCCACATAGGGTGACTAAGCACAGCCTGGGACAGAGACTATTGCTCTGCCTGGATCTATAGAGAATCAGGAAAACCCTGAGGTCATAGTGTGGCTGGCAGAGGCCCAGGGAACCCAGGTCTGGAACCAATCCTTTCCCTTTTAGCCCCTGGACATACAGGTCTCATCCCAGAAGAGAAGACAGTGACGCAAAGCATCCTTCCATGCCTAGCTATCTCTGGACCTTCCTCTATATAGGGATCCTGGACTATCTGTGATGGATAACCTTAAGTATTCACAATTTGCTTGATGCAGATGCTTGCTATGCTATGTCTCCCAGTTAGTGATGAGAGTAACTACAATGGTTATCATGTTATCTGTAAGGACAATTCTATTTCCCATTGCTTCTGCAACTCCCAAATATACTCATTCCTCTGCAAAGTTCATGTGGTAGCCCTTCCTCCACTGTACCTAGCAGCTGCAAACCAAGAAGTCTCAAGTCTACAACATTGGGGTAGCGAGGAACCATCACCAGTTCTGTGACCACATGACCAGTACACTCTTCTCCAGACTCTGAGCAGGGATACACAAATGACCTCAGCTTCAGCCCAGGAACCCTTTTTGTAGCACCCAAGAGTGACATCCTGGCCTCTCAGCCTCCCTCATTTCAGCACTCCCCCCCCCCCCAGTTCACTGCCATAATTGAAGTCACACCCTTTGACCTCCTAATGATGTACGGCCTCAGGGCTGGGCTTCAGCCCATGGCTTGCTGGTTGACACCTTCCCTTAACCAGCTCTCCAATGTGAGTTCTGCATTTCCTACTGAAATCACTTTCTGCCCTGCATCCCAACTCCCAGGTCTTCCTCGTTTTGGGAAGCATTCCGTTTCTCAAGTTGGATATCTGGAGCTGTCTTGATCACCCTCACCTAATCATCCCATTACATGACAGCAGAATGTGCCCAAATACCAATTACCAACTTCTTTCAGTGTCATCGGACCTCCAAAGAGGAACTCAGAATTTCCAATGCATCACCCAAGGGCATACTATAAAGCATACACCTGACCCTCGTACTCACCCCCCCCCATACCTTTGCACAGCCCCAAGGGCCAAGCCCAGGGTCCCTGCCTGGCACTGTATGGCCCTGAATGAGTAGGGCTTTATCATAATGTTTCAAGTTGGCTATCTACTTATTTTTATTTCACATTTACTGGCATTGTTCCCTACTGCTACTCATAACTCTTGCTTCAAGGTATCAAGGATGACACCCTTAGGACATCCAAGCCCAGAAAATAGTCATCTGGGGAATATGGAGGACAGAAGAAAAGGAAGAGGCTGTTCTCCTACCACCGCCTATGGCTGACTAGCTGGCCCAGACTTCCATGTGAAATTGTTCAAACATTTCAAGGTGAAATAGTGCCATGGCTGATCACATCTGCTAGGTTTGTTTATGAAGCTCATTCACTCACCTACACACACCAAAAACAAACACACATGTACACGCATACATGCATACACATATACCTGTATATACATAAATGCACGCACATACATACACACACAAAAATGCACACATGTACAAACACACAGGCACACAAACACTTGTGTGCAAGCATACAACCTGCTTGTTTTTATTGTTGATTGCTTTAGAAGTGAGATGCAAGCAACACAGTGACTTCACATCCTGGTTCCTCACCATTTCCTAATCCAAAACTCCAAAACATTTGCAGTGCTGACAGGATGCCGTGAGTGGAAAATTTCAGAATATAAATTTGTTTTATGTACAAAATCATTAAAAACTATGTAAAGGTACCTTTTGGCCATGTGAATATAGTTCATAGAAAACAGCTGATTTTTACAGACTTGGGCTTCATTTAGATCATGTCTTGTCACGTATAGACAAATATTGCAAAATCTCACCCTAAAACTCTAACTCTGGTGTTTTTAAAGATTTGGGTAAAGCGGGTGGGGGTAGGGGTGGTGCACACCTTTAATCCTAGCACTCAGGAGGCAGAGGCAGGCAGATCTCTGTGAGTTTGAGGCCAGCCTGGTCTACAGAGTAAGTTCCAAGACAGCCAAAGCTACACAGAGAAAACCCTGTCTTGAAAAAAAAAAAAAGGGGGGGGGGTGCTCAAGAGACAGCTCAGTGGTTAAGAGCACTAGCTGCTCTTCTATAGGAGCTGGGTTCAATTCCCAGCACCCACATGGCAGCTCATAGCTGTGTGACTCCAGCTCTAAGGGATCAGGCACCCTCATACAGATAAACATGCAGACAAAACACCAATGCACATAAAATAAGAAAAAAACAAAACAACAACAACAAAAAAGTTGGGTAAGAGATATCCCAATTATGCCTCCCCCATCTTAACACAATGCCATGGTTACCAGAGCCCAAATCCAACTTGAATGAACATAGTAATGTTATTTAAGATATAGTCCATGTTCAATTATCAGTCACTCAAACAGTAAAATCTGACCTTCACCTCCCACACCAGAGGGCCAGTCTAGGATTGTCACAACTCTGCATCTGGTTGTTTCATCTCTTTAGCCTGTTTAATCAAATCTATCTGTCTCTGCCTATGTGTGTGTCTCTCTCTGTCTCTGTCTCTGTATTTCATGTCATCCAGGCTGACTTCAATTAGCTGAAGAGGACCCTGAATTTCCAATCTCCCACCTCCACGTCCTGAGCGCTGGGACCATGGGTGTGTAGCACCGGGCCTGGTTTAAGTAATGCCGGAGATGGGGTTCAGGGCTTCACACATGCCAGGCAATAGCATTCCACTGACATCCCAGCTCCCCCAGCATTTTTTTAAACTAACATGACACAGATATTCTGGGAAGGTATCTTGTCAAATGTCCCACATTTTAGATAATGTCTGTTTCTTGATGCCAAAGATTTTCTCAGGGGCAACCCTCTCTCCACCATGTACACATACACATATACAAAATAAGAACTCAAAACTGTTCAAATTTGGCTTCTTAAAACCTCTATGTCAGGAGGTTTCATAATTGAAAAAAAAAATAAAAAAATATAAGCTCCATAAGCTGTAAATTTGGAAGAAAATAGAAAAAAAAATTGATAAAACAAAGCAAAGCAAAACTGATTGCACACGATAACTCTAAGCCATGTTCCCAGGTGATGGAGAGCAGTGTATCCCTGGAGTGCCTGCCACCTGCACCTCCAACACAGGTCACTCATTCATTCTTGACACTAGCAAGGCCCCTGAGGGAATCCAGATTTATGACCCTTCAAGTAGCCCAAGCTCCAAGTGACAGACAGAGGACCACTCTCCCCTACCCCCCCCCACACACACCCAGGGGATGCTTTTTGTCCTTGGCAACCTGAGGACTTAAGGACAATGGGACTGCAGCAAGCTCCATTCCAGGTAGGAGCCAGCCCATCTCTGCTCCCCAGCACCTTGTGCCCTACCTCTACATGTGGGATTGAGGAAGGGTGTCCTAGGTACTCGGAAATACCCATGAAAACACTGAGCACCTGCCTAACAGCTTCCAGAATAACTGGAATGCTTAGAGTTCCATTGTAAGTGGTTTGTTTGGAATGCCAACCATTTACCTCAGGGGACCTGGCCAACTTCTGACCACAGACTCACTGAAGGAGACAAAATAAACAGAAATCCCAGACTCTCGATGTCAAAACTACTCCTGTGCTCAACCTCCATTCTCAGATCATTTAATTCCACATCAAGCTGATCACTCCAAACGTAACACCCAAGTCCATGCTCCAAGCTCACTCCAAATGAAGCCAGATCAGCCCAGGAGCATCACACCTGCCCGGCCTCAGAGCAGAGTCCACGCCCCTGCAGTTGTTAGTTATGAGGTTGTGAGGTTGCTCTGGCCTTTCAAGAGTCCATTAAACTGGAATCTGAGTAACACCACAAACATTTTCCAGGTTGTACAAGACATGCAAGGACTTAATCGAGCAAATGAACACATCTGAGCTGCCCAGCTTCTGCAAAGACACTTAAATGGCTCTGCAACCAACCAAGCAGAATGGGAAGGACTCACTTTTTGGGAAGCCAAGTATTCCATGCCTCTAGCCAGCTGGTAGGTACAGGACACCAAGTCCTTGAAGGTCATCTGCTCCTCAGGAACTCGGTTAATGTCGTAGGAGTACTCCATGCCAGGTGGTCTCCGAGCTCGGAGGTATTCCCGGAGATTACCTTTCGAGGCATATTCAACTATGACGTAGAGTGGTCCTGTGACAGAGAGAAGAAGCTCCCTAAGGCAGCGAAGGCAGGAACTACCCTTGGGTGACTCAGCAAAGCTTTTCGTCACTTACAACCCACTGTAGTTTTGTAGTGCTTGTGAAGTGAACCCAGAACCTTGAACACATTAGATAAATGCTGGTTACATAGTCCATCACTCAGCAACAGCCCTAACTTTTTTTTTTAAGGTTTATCATGCAGAAGGCATGGACGAAAATAGACCCTTTTTTCCCTAACCTTCCCAAAATGATGACGAACAACATGATAACTGTCAAAGGTTTAAAGAGATAAAAGACGTAGCTATAGTAATTTTCTTGTCAGTGCCCTTCTTTCTCCCTCAGCCTTCCTAATGGTGCCAACCTTTCATTCAGTTCTTCATGTTGTGGTGACCCCAACTATAAAACTGTTTTCGTAACTACTTCATAACTGTAATTTTGTTACTATTATGAATCATAATGTAAATATCTGATATGCAGGATATCTGTGACCCCTGTGTGCACATACACATATATTTAAGTATAAGTAAATATTAAGTTTATAGGATGAAATAAAAGATGAAAATTTAGATGGCTTCAAATAGCCAGAGCACGGTATATACTCCAGGGCTAGAAAGAATGGTCCCCAGGCCACATCCTGAGTCATCACATTTTATTGTCACACAGCCATGCCCATTCATATCAGTATCATAATGGCTGATTTTCCAATTTAATGGTAGTGACAAGTAATTGTAACAGAGACCACAGGTCCATAAAAGTCTAAAATATCTACAATTGCCCTTTGGAGAAGAAGGTTCCAATCCCTACACACCTAAAGGAGATGCCACACAAGCATGAGTCTACTAATTACTGTCAAGTTGATTTCTAATGTGCCAGTAGGCATTCCTGGGAGCACCCAGGGAACCATTCCCCCGGGGGAGACCTTTCTTTCCTTCCACACTCTCTCTGTACAGCTATTCTTGAGAGCTCAGCCAACTGCTGCCTATAGCAAGACAGGATTCCCCAGCCCCCATTTTAAGGGAAGAACTTCTCAACCAAAGCATGCTGGTTTTACTTCAAGACATCTCTCTTGGCCCCTCACACAACAAAAGCATCAGAAGAAAGTCCTTCCCAAAACAGCCCCCATGCCCAACTTTTCACGCCCCACCCCCAACCAGGGGCCGCCACAAACCCGCTGTGCACCTGTGGCTGGTAACATCTTCCCAAGGGTAGAATAAAGTGACGTTTAAAAACATGTGCATGTGTACATATGCATATATTTGTTTGTATTTGTGTATGTGGGCACACATGCAAGTATGTGTGCATATGTGTGGCAGCCAGAAGATAGTCTTGTTTTTTAGATAGTGTCTCTCACTGACCAGGAACTCACTGAGCAGGCTAAACCAGGGGGTGGGGGAGGGGACAATGAATCCTGGGGTCCACTTTTCTCCATCTCCCCAGTACTAGGATCACAAGAGCTCACCTCTAAATATGGATTTGACAGGTCCTCATTTTTGCAAGGCTAGCCCTCTATTGACTGAAATATCTCTCCAGCTTCTACTTTCCTGTATTTTTGAGACTGGTGTCAAACTTGTGATCCTCCTTGGATAGGTGTGTACTGCGTGTCTGAAGGAGATATATGCCCTTAAAATGCCCTACAAACAGAAACCTGACAGCCCAGTTGTTTCTAGATAACATCTGCTGGCCAGTGGTGCAGTGTGTGGACAGAAAACACACCCTTCTCCTACTCACCATCCTGGGTGCAGGCCCCCAGGAGGTTGATGATGTTCTTATGTTTGCCAATCATCTTCATCATCTCCATCTCTGACACCAGATCAGAAAGGTCTTTCTCTGTGGCATCATCTAGGAACATGAAGTAGGTGTATCATAAATCAGTTGGTTTCTGCCAGGCTGTCATTCTTAGTCATCAAACTCATTTCTTAGAAAGCCATGGAGTTGAATTTTAGAACCAGAAACATTTCCCCATCTAATCAGCAAAGAGATAAAAGCTGAGGCAGGGGAGTGTCATGATCAGTACCAAAGAAGTCACATGGTCAAGAGTTGGGACCAAATCTAGGCCCCCAACACTAAGGCCAAGCCTTTTATAGCAAAGTTCTTGATCATGAACTAACCCTATTCTCTGATGTATTTTAGGAACCTTTACAGAATACACCAAACTTCCTGATGCTCCCCCCCCCCCGACCCCCCAACAACTCTAAGAATGATGGGAAGGAAACCATAGGAGGACCATTGGGAAGTACTATAAAATTTGTTTTTACAGAGAAAAAATTCCAAACATAATCTTTAGCTTATTCAAAGTTAGGCCCAGGAAGTAGCCCAGAAGGGCATCTGTAAATGTGTATGCATACAGAAAGTCTGAGTGAGCAAAAAGCCTTCTCAATAGCTCCAATTATCACCCTAAAAGAGAAGTACAAGCCATGTCTCACATGCATGGCAGAGACCCAGCACACATGGGCTCACAAGGCGCTTCAAATGAGAAGATGGACCATTTCCAGTGTGCTCTCCTTTAAGTTAACTCTTCTGCTATCACTTTGTTGTGTGTAGTGCTAGGACTCAAACCCAGTGCCATGAGCATGCCACTCAGACATTCTACCACTGAGCTAACTCAAATACAGAAAGGAAAAAAATCTGAGCTGAAAAAAAGAAAAGAGTAAGGGCTGAATCTGGCTTTAAAAATGAAATAAATAGGTCTATTGTAACCTACATGGAAAAGAAGGAAGGGAGGAGGGAATAGAGCAGCCAATAGACACACACTTAGCATGCTGCCTTCCCTAGACCTTGCCGTACTCTGGTTGTTACAAAGGATGCTGAGAAGGCTTTGGAGCCAATGTCCTCTGACCATGATGAAAAGGATGGTGAACAATCTTGTTTAAAGAGGGGGGCCAACCCTAAGCCCCCTTTTTGCAACAGCCCCAGGGGATCTCAAAACCAGGAGTCTATAGAAAACATTATGACACCTGGTCCTCCCTACCCCACAGTACCCAGCAGGTACCAAGGTCTGGTACCTAGATACTTGCAATCCCCTCCATGGTATCAACCTCCAAAACAAGGACCATCCCAGAGTTCCCTAGGGATCTCAGGTCAATAGTCAAAAAAACAAAATGAATGGTGTTCTGGCCCTTTCTTGTCTGCATGTTCTCAGCAGTGGGGGGATGTGGTAAGCATCCCACTAAAGAAAGAAATGGCTTAACTCCTGAGCATGGCAAAAATCCCAAACTTCCAAGACAGACATCTCTGCCCACAAGCGAGGGAAACACTGGGCACAAAATCTTTCTTTCTGAGATTCCCACAATAGGATTTATAAAGTGACCTTTCCCTTTAACTCTTCTTATAAAAGAATATCATGCAAGGAGAAGTTAACAGTTAAAAAATAATTTAGGCTCCTTGGGCATCAAGCTGGTTTGGAAAGGCTTTGTACAAACATTTGGCTCCCACCAAAAAAAAGGAGGGGAGGGGGGACATTTATATACTGGGGTTACTATTTCCATGTCCCTGAGATTCTGCATTAGAACCAAGCCTTTCTGTTCCTTTTCGGCTTCTAAAGACTCTTGAGCTCCACATTTTGACAGAATGTGGCTTTCTGTTTCCTGACCCTCCTTGTCCCACTCCAATACCTACCACTCCTTGTTTGTATGTTAAAATTTGGGTCCCAAATTTGCCTTATCAGTTCCCACCTAAGCCCCTGAGCCCACGAATACACAGGTGAGGAGAATCAACTCAGAGAACAACTGGACCCAGCAAGCTACCACTTGCTCATAAACTGGCTTTTCTTTTAAGTACACACAGCTCAAGGTAAATCCACTGTCTCAGATGCTCATTTATCCTGAAAGCCCCTCAACCTCCAGGTCAAGTATGTGCTCTCTGACCCCACATCATTGCAGAGTTCACGTGCCACAAAAGGAACACTCTTGATAAGGCCCGCCCTGCCCTCCCATCCACCCACTCACCTTTCAACATCTTCACTGCCACGGTGACTGCCTCCTTGGGTTTGTCTTTATCAATTCCCACTGCTTCAGCCATGACGACTTGCCCGAAACAACCTTCCCCCAGGGGTTTGCCCAGCGTCAGCCTAAATGTGTAAATAGGGGATTAGCACAGAGCCCCTGGCTGAGGGGCACGGTGAGGGAAATACCAGAACTAAATATAAAAAAAAAATCTTCCAGAGGCATGCATATGGAACCAATGAGACTTTGATGCACGCGCGGGGTATTTTCTTAGTGACGTTCTTCCAGAATGTCAATTACTGTTGGAGCAGCTATTAAATTTCACATTCGTGCTCTCGATTTATTTTCTTTTTCTTTATGGAAGGCGTCCTTGCTAGTGAGGTGGTCAGCTTCCCTGTGTGCCAACTGTGAGGAGCTTTTGGTCTTGAGCCAATTAAATATTTGTAATTTAAAATGTCGCAGAGGAAAACAAAAAAGTGAAAGGCTGCTCTTATTTTCTGTTCCTGTAAACTGGCAGCTTTCAAATCACTATTATGCAATAGCAGTAGATTTTATGGTTACACTGCTTGCCCAGATACATGGTAGGAATCACCTGCCAGTGCATTTCAAATAATACGTAGTTTCTTATTGAAAGCAACTTTTAGAAAACAAGCAGGATGTTTTTTGACACAAGTTTAGAAATTATTATACCACCCCAAATAAACAAGAAAATAGAAAGACAGTGGCACAAATTACACTTTTAAGCATAAAATTTCTGTGCGTGTCAGATAAAATAGCCTGACATTGTTCTAAGTGTTTCATGGAAATACTTTTGAGTGTTTTTTTTTAAAGATTTATTTTTAATTATGTGTGTATGTGTTTCTGAGGAGACTGTATGTAGAGATGAGTGTAGGCACCCATGGAATTACAGACCAGACTCTGGTCCTTTAGAAGAGCAGTACAGGCTCTTAACCAGGGAGATGCCTCTCCTGCTTGAGTGTGCGTCTTTTTTTTTTTTTTTTTTTTAAACATAAGCACAAGTATTGCGTTGTTTCACTATACAGCATTCACAGTAAGTACACATGTTTTCAAAAGCTCAAAAGGGAAAGAAAATGGAGGGTAGCACATGCTATGCTGAAGGCATCGCCTTGCAGTCCAGAAATAAAATTAAATCGAACATCTTGGCAGAAAATAAACATTTGCGTTGGAAAATGGTTAATTTATGTCCTATTGCCCCGCTACTACATGCATAACAAACCTCTCTTTGTGTGACTTCTGCCTCCACTCTAATAAACGGCTTCTAAATAGCCTTCATTCATTGGAAATCTGCTCCACCAACATTTGTGCTAAACACTGCTTGGAAATGCATAGCGCTCAGATTTTCCACACTTAGGTGAGGTCCCCCTCACCCCCACCCCCACACCCCTGAGTGCGAGCTGCTGGGCAACATAGACTTGCACTGTTGACTGGTGTCACAGGTGGCCAAAAATACAGACTCAACCTGAAAACTGCAAGTTTTTAACATACGAGCACAACTCCCCAATTCAGTCTTGTATACATTGGAATGTGCACATGAACCCAGCTCTTTATGTAATCAAGCATAGCTAGGCAGGGGTCAAGAGAAACATCTCTTCCTCTATCAAAAGCCTGTAGGTAAAGAAACCATTCTTTGTGTTTTCTCTGGTACCTCACCAGTAAAAATGTCCAATAAACATTCCCTGAACGAATGAAGGAATGTTCTTTTCACTGCAGTATACAAATAAACTGGAAATTATTTCTATTGACATAAACAGAGGGCTGCATAGACAGTTACTCAGCCCTCGGCTAGGATATATGTGACAATCTCTAAATTGTGAACCAAAGTACCTGGAATTGTGTGACTCAAAGACCCAAGTGAGGTCCAAGCTTCCCTCTCCTTTCAAATTAGAACTGGCCATCCAATCTAGGGAAATCTTATCTTTGTGTTCCTGAATGTCTGTACACACACACACACACACACACACACACACACACACACACACACAGAGTGAGTGTGTTAAACATACCACTAACATAATCTTAGGAAGGCACTGCAAATGTCAAGACAGGTGGGGGGCTAGTTGTTTTCAAGAAAGCTGAGAGTTTATTCCTCCATATCTGATTCAGAAACAGCCGATATTTCCACCTTTTGCTACTCTCAAGCTGTTTAGACTCTAATCCTACATGAAGGAAGGTGCCAGGTTTGGTCTCTACCTGAAGGGTAGAGACTGGTGGCCCACCCTCTGTACCATCAGCTCTGTTAAACTCACCATCTCACCATCTTACTGAAGTTTGCAGTTTAAAGGTTCCTGATTACCAAGATACAAGCGAAAATGAGAAATTCCAACAACCAAGACTTGTGCTCAGTCCCAGGAGGTGTAGACCATGACCCTCATTTTAAAGGCAAGAAATTCAGAGAACTGAGTGAATCTGTCAGGTCTGTCCAGTATTGGCTGGCAGAACTGGGATTCCAAATCAGCCCAGGCACAGACCAAATTAAATTACACAGAGTTGCACAGGCTGGGCCAAGAGACAAAACAACTCCTAGCAGTGACCATCAAGCCTGCATGGCAACCTTGTGCCTCAACACATAACTAGATACCTCTCTATCAACCAGTAAGCAAAAGTACTGTAGACCACAGAAGTCAGGTATCAGGTATAAGATTTGAAACTTTTCAGCCCAATATCACATTAGTAACCACTAAAAACAATACAAAACAAACAAAATCCTTAAGGCAATTTCTAGTAACCAGAAGTTGGAATGTCACCTTTGTTTTAGAGACTGCATTAACTCCACTTTTGTTCCATTTGACTAGGTTTGAATTGTCTAGAAACTCAAACAATGGTAACCATATGCCATCTCAATTGGCTACTAGGCAGAACTTTGTAGTTCTGCTTCAAAGGAGATACTTAAAAAAAAAAAAAATTAATTCTTCTTTCCAGAAGTGGGTTATTTAGAAATACAATCTCACTCCTGTTGACAATGTCAGAGTAAAACCTTTGCAGCTAAAGGCCATGAAAAGAAAATGTCAATCCAATATTTCCATTTACAGCTAAGAGTTCACTGGGGCTATGTGCACAAGTACTCACTTATCTCTGGGGAACTCCCACTTTGGATCCTCCGGCAACTCGTACTCAGAAACCCCTGCTAGCATTGGGGTATCTGCTGTGGAAGACAGGCGAGTTGTTATCCTCACCAGCGGAGTGTTGGAGTTCATGGAGGAGCTAGACTCAGCCGAAACCTGGATACAAAATGCAAAGAGGCAGATGTAATTCTGGCTCTACCTGAGGAGACTAGAAGTGAGCTGGGACCCAGCCAGAACATCAGTTCTTACAAAGAAAGGGGAAGAAACCAGGTTAAAAAAAAACAAAAACAAAAACAAACAAGAACAAAGAAAAATGAACCAAAACAAAAATATTTATAGAAGTTTAATTATAGTTTTTCTTCTTCTCATAATTTTTAAAGATGGCCACTTAAGAACGTACAGACAAACCCCATGGTTTCCTCACTGTCCTTTTGCCTTTCCTTGTTCGGGGCCTGGATGAGGAAGATCTCCTTAGCCCTGCTCAGACTTCAGATCAATGCCATGCCCCTGAGATTTGCTGACATGAAGGCTGGGCCCAAGCACAGAGTGCTGGCCAGGCATGAGCAAGCCCCTGGGTTCCATTTCCAGCACCATAAAATAAAAACAAATCCAAAACCACAAACACTGGGCAGATGAGTTCTTCCACTGAGTCTGCCTTAGCCTCCACAGTGTAAAAAGGGTACCTGAAGGAAAGAAAGAGGAGGGCATACATGGGAAGGGTAACTCGGCGGTCTTTCATTCAATGAAAGCCAAGGCCCAGGCATCAGAAGGTCATTCTTTATCTCTCCCCAGTCCTTCTGAAACTTGATGATGCAGACCATTTAGTGAAATGGGCTGGCTCTTGTCACTTTAGGTTCAGTAAGTGGGACAGTGGACAAGAGGTGAGGGAAAGACACCTTCTCTCAGAACCACATGGGAGGAAGGATTCTCTCCCACCTGGCAGCACACAGGGCTTCGCCAAGTTATTTTCTCATTTTCCTTGATCTGTATCGGCCTAGGTCAGACACAGTGTTTTTCTCTTAAACACACAGTCTCTAGTTGGCTGATTCCCAAGAAAGAAAATTTACACGGAGCCCACATGAAGGCTGTGCCTAGGTATGATGACACAGCCTTGGTCTGACTGTGGGCTGCTGGGCACTGCTTTATTCTATGCCATGACTGAGGCTTTGACCAAATACACATGGAATGTAAGGTTAGACAGGAACCATCCAGGCATCACAGCAAGCCACCCTGGCTTCTGTCGCACGCCTGATTGATGATCCCCATCTCCTCAATCTAACAGGCAAAGATGAAGCCAAAGGAACTTCACAGGTGGATCCCAAGGAACCCAAAGACCTACGCTCTTCCTAGAACTGTCCCATCTGGCACATCCTTCTACTCTTCAAAAATCCCAACCACCATTAATGGAAGTGAGAAAAGGCACCTGTGGTATTAAAATCAATGACGTTCAAGGTTATCTTTGGCCACATAGTGAGTTCAAGTCTCAAGAAACGAACAAACAAAAACACAAAGCCAAACAAAAACAAATATATTAAAATCAAGGAGTGAATTTTGATGTGAAATCCAATTATCATTTGAAATATACACGGGGATATTTCTGAACCTTCTGTGTTGTCTTTGGGGAAGGGGAAAGTTGAATTTTTTTCATTAAAAATTTTATTTGTGTGTGTGTGTGTGTGTGTGTGTGTGTGTGTGTGTGTGTGTGTGTGTGTTAGTATGCATATCTGTATGGAGGTCAGAGGACAGTTTCTGAGAGTAAGTTCTTTCTACCTCAATGGTTCCAGGAATTGAACTCAGATCATCAGGCTTGGCAGCAAGCACCTTTGCCCATTAGACCATCTCACCATCCCCCAAGGAGAAGTTAGATCTACATTTTACTATGCAGACAGGGCACAACGAAAGTTTATTTATTTATTTATTTTTAAAAGAAGGAAACAAAGGACTGATTTTGTAATGGGAAGCCACACCCTCAAGAGTCCCAATCTCAAAGGAAATGCAGAAGCGAGTAGGAAAAGATGAGCTAGGGCATGAGAGTTCCTCTTGAATCCACCCCCCTTACTCCTTACTAAAGTCATCAGAGTAGAAGCTACCAAGAGCCCCACCCTGAGCATAACAAAAGATGACTCCCAAGCCTCTTGCATGGTCTGTGGTCTGCATGATGTCCAGCCTTGTGGTGGTGAGCTGTCCTCATCTGCAGGCTCCATCAGAAACCAGGAGCTTTCTGACAACATCACAATATCCACTTTCCACTGGCCACAAAATATCATCCACAGAAAAGGGGCTCAGAGCTTCGATGCTGGAAGGGAGTGCTTCCCTGGAACCACCTGCCTGACTTATTCTGAATCAGTTTCATAGGGTATGCCTGAAGGAAGTGTGTAATTTCTTTATTTATTTGTTTTTAAGATCTTTCTGGAGGTCCTCCACACAAATAGGCAAATAAATAAATGAATGAATAATCATCACTTACTGCAGAAGAAATTCATGCCAGAGGATCAGAGGCAAGAAGTCGGGGCCAAATTAGTAAATGTCAGTGCAGCAATGAGACAATACAGGGCCCAGAGAGCAAAGAGCCAGCAGAGGCTATGTGCATCCAGGACACTCTTTACAGGGCCATCAGCTTGGCCCTGCATCACTGGACCCCAAAGTTCCAGAACCAAACTGTCAGGAACCACGGTGTGCTGGCACTAGTGAGGAGCGAAATCTCAGGGGCCCACAGTGCTGAATGGTGCTAATGTCACAGCTTCTGTGTCTTGTCCCTGGGGGTCAGTGCTCCCCCTGGGGAGGCTTGTGGGATGGGATGCCACCACTGGCGTTTTCTGGAAGGATATCAAAGGCTAGCAGTGGGTTTGGGGAGAGAGATCAAGAGTTGGAAGCAGGGTAAGAAACAGGCCTTATTCCAGAATTTTCTATATCATTTAGATTGTATTACCATGGTCTTCTGTTTCTTTTGTGTTTCGGTAGGAGTTCTTTCCTTTAACTAAAATATCATTTGGAATAGAACAAGCATGAACTAAGAGAAAGGAAGGCATAGGTTTGAAATATGCAGATTTCAGTTAGAGAATAACAAGATCCTTGTCTTCACCCTCTCTTGTGCCACCAGGCTGTTTTGTGATTTTTCCATATCCTTCAATATGTGTACCCAGTGATCATCCAAAGCCATGCTGCCCTTCCTGGGTCTGGTGGGCTACATCCTGGTCTAAGTCTCAATTATAATCCATATTAAGTGAGAGTCTCAGGAGGTCTCAGTCCCAGCTCACAGAGTTATTAGCACGACAGAAAGAAGACAGCACAAGCTAAGTGCCTGCTGCTGAGCTGGGACAGCCATAGCTCATCAGCGTGCTGTGCTGTGTGGGGTTGTTGTGATGTTATACAGGATGCATGTCAACTGCATGTCTGATTGATAAGATGGGACCCTCAGCTGCCAGCCAGGATGGCCTGGGGCTCCAGAAAGCAAGAGTTTTAAAACAATATAAGAGTTAGAGGACAGTCCAGGGCAGAGGAAGGAAGGCTATGGGTAACAAAGTTCTGCTGCTGAATATGACTTAGCAGTTACCTCTAATCAGAGAGATTTACCATCTGGTCTGACATTAACTACTCTATGGAGAACCTCTGACCTAATGGAAATGAACACCACAGCCCTGTGGCACAAGTTTATCATACACACACACACTCTGCAGCAGGGCATCTCTGCAAGGGTTTAATGTGAACATTTTTCAAAATGGAAAACAGAGCATGTGGGGGATGGGGGGAACCTAAACATGACAGGGAAAAAAAAAAAAAAAAAAAAAAAAAAAAACCTTGACAGTCTTTGCTGTAGCTACTACTATTAAAACATAAAACTGTGCTTATGTGTGGGAATCTTGTTCAATATAAAGTGCAGGTTCAGATTCAATGTACAAGTCTGGGAAATACTTTGTAAAAAACACACAGAGAGAATGGGTAAGAAAATACCCAAAGTATCTGAACATACAGAGTCTGCTCTCCCTGTCCACAGAGGTACATCTTAATTTTACCTCCATGCTTTTTACTATACTTTTAAAATCCCCTCTGGGACCGTAAAGTATGACTGGCTTTCTCTTCACTCCCCTTGCCTCAGAAACTCAACCTGTCTGGAGGGCTTGGCAACACTCCGCCAGGGGTTCCCCGAGGAACCCTGTGTTTCGAGGGCTCCTTCCCTCTGAATCATGGCCCCGCCGCCCACCATGGAAGTCATCCGTTTCTTCAAAACCATCATATTACTGATTTCATTTCTCTTCTTCTTAAATTATAACATCCCTCCTCAGATATTCTCCAATCCTTAATCGAGAAACTTCAATTTTGGAGCTCCCCTGTTAGAAGTCACTTATAAACAATGAATGCAAACACTCTAGTAAACGGTTTCCCCACCCACCCAAATCTTGGCAGGCAGTTTTTTAAAGACGTGCACCCTTCACAGCCTCCAATTCTGCTGCCTTACATGGTGGGATCCCTTTACCACGCGCCATAAATCAAGCTTTTAACTAGATGTGCTTTTCATATATTTCCACAGCACATATGGGAGATTAAGGAAGGAAGTGGGTTTTCTCCCCATTTCTTTTTAAAGGGCCACCAAGAAATAGCAGCATCTCTTTATTCTGGATTAAGCTGACATCCAGAGGGGAACCTCACAGATGACACAGAAGCAGGCAGAAGCAAAGTGCAGTGGCGGCGAGGAATGAGTCACGTTTGTCTTCATTCCTGAGGACCGACACATACCCTTGGACCACAGCAGACCTGAGACACCCTCTGATTACCAGGTGGTAGATAGAGCCTTCCACATCAGAACAGCAGCCCAGGGTGTACATACTTCTGCCATAAGTCTAGCTGCACAGATCTCTAAGGCCAAGCAGAAGGCCTGCACTGTACCAAGCTTCAGGGGACTTTTAGGGGTGCATTTTCCCCATTGGATAATAAAATCTAGGTAATTACTCAAGCGTCCCCTTAAACAGCCCCTACTACCCACAGATGCTCGAATGGTCTGCCACAACAATAAAAGTATCTAGTCCAGAAATTCTGATTATACTTGACCTCATCAGAAAAAGTCCAGGGTAGATCTGGGTCAAAGAGGCTGAGAGAAAAGACAGGCTGAAGGGGGGTGGGGTGGGGAGAAAAGGCGAGAGATCCCTACGAAAGGGCAGACTCCACTAGGGTCATCCATAATTAACAGTTGTCTAAACGTTTTCTAGAACCAGCATACTGCAACACTGGATAGACAAGGATCATGGAGTCGAGCTACTAAGCAGTGAGCAAGTCAGAACTTACTGAGCTTGGTATAATTCAAGACCATAAACTTCTTGCTGCCCTGATCACAGCTCCAGAATCAAGTGTTCCTTCATCCCACCCCCTAATAACCATATGCCTCAAAGGCATGACAAAATTGTTCTCCGGTTTTCTCAGCTACCCATGCCAGTGGTTGAGGCTGGGAACAGACACTTCAGTTCCTTGCGAGACTGGGAGATGGGTAGGCAGTGGATTCATCTAGATCTGGCCAATCAACAGCTAGCTGAATCTCCATCTTACCCTATTGCAAGCTTCTGGCTTCAGAGGAAAAGCTGACACACTGTGAAATCTTCTCAACAAACACAGCACTGCCTTAAGCCAGGCTTCGTCTGTCCTTCTCTACACCCACGCTCCCCCTGACAAGGGACCTGTGGAAGTAACAAGGCAAATCCCTCCCCTTGGACTCGGGGGTTCACAAAGATCATTTCTCATTTGCCACTGATGGTGCAAGTGGCTCACAAAGGGCCCTTCTCTGGGTTGGCTACTGCCACTTAACACACCAAGTACCAAGAAGTAGAAACAAGTGAACAGTGCCTACAAAGTGTCCAGTCCTGGCCTTGGAAGGCAGAGATGAATCCTCATGAATAGGGAGATCCCACAAGCTACCAGCTTGTAAAGTTGCTTTTTTTCTCTAAGCATCAAAGTACATAACGAGTCTCCCAAAATTAATGTTTACTAGAAATTCTAAAGGCTATAAAGAATTTGATACTGAAAACAAGCAAAAACCTACCTTTTGCCTCAGGAAAATAGCATAAAGTGAAATATCTGCTTTAATCAAGTTCATGGCAGGGAAGTAAACATCAAGGAAAAAGAAGGGCTGAGAAGGAGATGGGTCAGTAGGTAAAAAGACTTTTTTGACCTGAGAGCAATCTCCAGAACCTACATTTAAAAAAAAAAGCGAGCAGGCATGGTAACTGACGCTTGGAATTCCAACACAGAGGAGGGAGGGTCAGCCCTGGGGCTCACAGGTGAGACAGCCTAGTCGAATTGGCTAGTTCCAGGCCAGTGAGTGAGAAACTGCACTGAAAAAAAAAAAAAAAAAAAAAAAAAAAACCAAAAGGGGTAGGGAGTGGAGCATACCTGAGGTTATCATTTTACCTCAGCACATATCTGGACACACCTACACACCTGCATGCATGAACGCACACACACAGAAAACAACACGAATAAATACATCAACTTTTCTTGTTCTAAAACAAAGACAAGGGTGAAATGAGTGGAGAGAGGCTGTGCACCTCCGTGCTGTGAAATGTCAAGAATCAGGGCCAGGAGGGTCCAAAGTGGCCTCTAGCTGCATCATCTGGGAGCTCAGGCCAACAAGAAACGAAGCCTAGACTCTGAATGCCTGGGAGCACCCATCCTCCAGACATCTGATTACAGGCTCATCTGTCGCCAGGTAAAGGCATGCTTGGCATCCCTGTGGTATTCACTCTGTCATTAACCTATCTTCGGGCCTTTGTGGGACTTTTCCCTCTAGCCACAGCCCAATACTCTCTTTATCCAGATACAAGATAAGCATCTTCTCCTCCCCACAGTGGGCTGTGCTTTGGAAAGTCCTTGGGAAGAGAGGTACCACACTCTAGGAAATGCTGGGGTACATCAACACCCTCTCAACTCATTCATCTCCCAGAGACTTATTTATCAAGAGGGCCTGGTACTCACACACTTTTCTTATATTGCATGACCCAAATGAAACATTTCAAAAGGACCTTGCAATCAATGGCAAATGGGTAGGCTTTATCTGACATGACACTGGCTCAATTTATTATTATTAATTTATTTTGGTGAGGTTGGGGAATGGACATGCCAGCAAACACTCTACTACCATTCATTGAGCTACACCCGCCAGTGTAGCTAGTTTAGGCCCATGCATGAAAATAAGCCGTACATCTAGTAAATGATGATGAATGAAAGAAAAGAGGAGGGAAATGAGAAGAAACTCAAAGTTTCCCTCTGGGTACACAGGTAATTTGAGAAAAATGGAGAGCTTGGGTGGAGATGGACAATGAAGAAAGTCAGTTGGCCAAAGAGAGAGGCAAACATGATGAACATGTATGTCAAAGGGAACTCAAGGGCATCTGCCTTCTATGTATGAAGCAAAAGGAAGAACATGGCAGAAGATGTGCAATTTTTTCTTTAAAAGATGATGGAGTCAACAAGATGGCTCAGCAGGTAAGATGCTCAGCACTGAAAGTCCTACCTGCTTGATTCCTGGGGACCACACAGTGGAGGAAGGCCCTGGCTCCCATGTAAATTGTTCTCTGAACACACACACACACACACACACACACACACACACACACACACACACACACACAGACACACACAGACACCATAAATTAAAAAATCCAAGGAGAGTTAGAAGAGTTTTCTTTAAAAGTGATAGGGCTGGAAAGACAGCTCAGTGGTTAAGAGAACTTACTGCTCTTGCAGAGGACCCAAGTTCTAGCCCCAGCAGCCATATTAGACAGCTCAAAACTACCTGTAACTCCAGCTCTATGGGATCTGATGGCCTCTTCAGTCAACCCAAAGAGCTTCTGCACACATGTATAAACATCCATACACATTTAAGATAAATTGTTTAAACTATGAATTAACTATGGGCCAATGGCATAGCTACATCAAGTTATAGATTTCACTTGTTTCTCCTATTATAAAAACAAATAATTTTATATAAAGACATCATTGCCTTTATTTAAACACCCTATGCCAGAGTTCCAATACAGAAGATGTTATGGAAGAAGAATGGTCCAGGAAGAAGAGATAAGAAGCTATGAAGGGGTGGCTATTCAGCCTCAAGCCTTGGCAGTACCTGCCCAGGTCAAAAGACTTTCCTTGCAACTCATTAACCCCAGCCCCATCTTGCTTCTGTAGTCCCCCAAATGACAGTAATGTCATTCAAACTGGCAACAACATTCTTGGGAGCCAGAAGGAATCCACCAGATTTCTTTGATCCCCACATTCAACCTAGTTGGTTATCGGCTGCACCTGACATACACTCCAGAGTTTTCCCCAAGCCTCTGTAAGAAACAGCTGTTGGAAAGGAGGCTGAAAGGACCTGCTCAGACCTGGTGGAGAACATCCAGGTCTGTGTCCAAACCACTACTGGACAGCTGGTTCCTAGTCCCTTCCAGAAACAGAATCTTGTCAACAGAAAGGACCTTGCTAGATGAAGGTCCAGGAAAGGCAGAATTGGGTCAAACCCAGAGAACCTTAGGGTATCACATAGCATCACCTGAGGAAGTGTTTAAAATGCAAACTTCCAGATCCACTGAATAAGAATCTTGGGCTGAGACTAATGAATATACAATTTTAACAAACACTTTCAGGTTCTACTAAGATGCACGGTGGAACCCAGCCAGTGTTGGCCATGTCAGTTTCTACTTAAAAAATAATGACAGCCTTATCAAAATCAAGTTCTATATCCTTTCATAAAATTTGCATTCACCTATCCCCAGCCCTCAGTCTCCACAAACAAGTAGAAGAATTTCAACATTTCCTTTCCCATCTACTTTTGAAGGGCATTGTTTCCTGGCACAGTGAAGATTCCATCTTGCCTCATCTTCCCCCAAAGCTAGCCATCAAAGACCAAGTTCAAGGTAAAAGGTAATTTTGTACCTGTTCCATTTAATAATCATCTTATCTGGGAGTTGGAGACATGGCTCAGTAGTTAAGGAGTGCTTGCTACTCTTCTAGAGGACCAAAGTTCAACTCCCACCACCACGTCAAGAAGCCCCCAACTGTCTATAACTCCAGTACTCGGGGATCTGACATCTTCTGGCCTCCACAGGCACCTGAACACATGTGCTTATAACACACACACACACACACACACACACACACACACACACACACACACACACAAACTCATCTTATCACTGAATCCTAGCCACACCTATAACCTACAGACAATAATATAAGCATACAATGTTATTTCAAAAAACCAGACAGATTCAGACAAAACCTAGTTTAGAAGAAATCGCAGTCCACTCTCATGCAAGCAATCATTCAGTTGTTCCTCCAGACTGTGTGTTTCTCATTTCTACTTAAAACAATAAAGCAAGCAAACAAACAAACAACTAGAGTCTCTTTCCTATTCATGGTGAACACTCCATCTGAATATCCAAACCAGTCTCATAAAGAAGTGACGTATCCCAGACAAAAACACCTATTCATCCAACAGACTCCTGTCGTTGAATCTCACCACCAACCCAGAGGACACTGCCTCCAGAGTAACTGTCCATTCCACTGAGTAGCTTGGATTTGCACACTGCTGTCCTTTCTTCCTTTAAAATTAGACCCCACCCACCAACCCCAGCCAGAGCTGCTCAGTGACTTGAGGCTTTAAGTTCCAAATGCTGATTGATCCTCCACAAAGTGGCAGGTTATACCTGCATGCTGAAGTTCACAGAAGTTAGAGGGGGAAATCAAAGCACAGGAAAAGATCCTAGAGCTGGCTGGGTGATAAAGGGGAATAAGTTTCTTCAAACTCTTTATCTACTTTCTGTTACCTGTCTCCGCAGGGGGATGCGCTTGGTCAGCTTGTGCACCGCTGGCTGGCTGCTGAAGTCCGGCTTCTTGGTCGTGGTCTTCATTCGGCACAAGATGACTGTCACCACCATGCAGGCAATTAAGAAGACCCCTATGCAGTAAATAGCTATTTCCAGGTAATCTGGGGAAGCTGTGATCTCCTTTTCTCTCACAGGTGCTAGATTTCAGATCACGGGAGAGGAACAAATAAGCAGGCCACAGAGTTAGGATACCAGAGGGATGCATCATAGCATATCTCAAAGGAATCACTCCAAAAGCAACAAGGGCTTCCCTATCATAAGTCAATGCAAAAGGGTACCCAGATGCACAACAGCCTTGTGCTTCCTGTCTGGGCCTTTCCAAAAGCTAACAAGTAGCCAAGGGCTGCTCAGTTTATCACCACAGCCCAGGCAGCCACCTTCTCTAGCCTCAAAGAGCATCTGCAGCCAGTAAGAGCTGATATCAAATTGTGATGGCAGGCTACAAGGTCACAATCCGCTATGCCCCTGGGCAGAGCAGGACACCTAGTACACACACTTTAGGTGTGGCAATGATGAGAACTATTAAAAAGGAACATGTCACTTTTTTTTTTCTAAGGAGGCAGGGACAATGCTTTGCTGTTACTAAAGGAAGCACTTCAAGGGAAGGCTCAACAGGTCCCCAGAAGATCACAGCTCCACACGGAGTTCATAATCACCTCATAGGCTTGCCCAAAAAGTTTTGGTGAGTCCCTTTATACAGTCCAGAATATTATTCAATTAAACAATATGCATCAGATAGTCACATAATATATATATACATATATGTAATACCTAATAACCATTAAAATGTTTGCATATCCAATTACATTAACTTGTTACTGAACCTTTAAAAAAAATGGTACTGCATGTGAGTAGTAACGTAATTGATTTAATATGTTCTTCTGTCAACTACATTGGTCCTCAAAAGGTCAGTCTACAAGCAGTGTATTCCCAAACATTTTTATCCTCAAGCTGCATTTCCTTAAGGGGTAGTGCTGTCAGGCAAATTGGTTAAGAAGTACCAGTTGGGCACTTAAAGAGCACAGCATTGCAAGTACAAGCAAGCTCAACAGGAGAGGTATCTCTACTTCAAGAATAAATACTCACAGAGCAGATTCATAACCAAAGGGGAAGATGGATGCAATGGTTATTGTTTTAAAGCTTATACATTTTAATCAGAAAAAAACAAATATTTGCAAAGACAATCAAAACTCTCAGCAGCACACACAGCACAAAAATGAAACGATCGATTTATTTTTTACGAGCTATAAAACAAGCATGCAGTAGGCATGGTACTCTAGAAACAAGGCATTAATAACTGGAATAGACGAGCATCATGAGCTGCAATAAACGATCTACGCGGTTTTCCAAAGGAAATGCGAGGCAATGCATGAGAGAGGGCAGCGTTTATTGAGAAAGTTGGACTAGAACAGAGGCATTGGTTAAAGACTTAGATGGCAATGGGCTTCGTTGATGTTGATTTCTCTGGAAGGCAGAAATCACATCAAGCCCGAGATGGCATACACATGCTCTGCCATGAAAGCAAACTGAAAGTCCACTCTATTGAGGCATGCAGCAAGCCACCCGATTCCCAAGGTAATACACTGCTTCTGCATACCTACATTAGAGGTGCTTCCCAGGCACCGCAATATAAATCCATCTGCACTCAAATGAGATATAAGCAAGACGGACTGAGAGGCATCAAACCACATATGGGATTTTAGCAAAGTGTAATTTGCAACAGGGAAAAATACTACTTTGAATTTCACCAAATAATTTTGACTTCCTTCTTATGAGCAAGGGAGTAGGTTCATTGAGTCACCAGGCCAGTGATTCACTAAAATTACAAGATCCCTTTAGGGTTTAAAGGTGAAATTTTACTCGACATACAAGTGTGGGATCCTCCTTGTATGTGAATATCTAAGGCAGTTTCTTGTCCCTGGGGGTGATTTTGAACATTTATTTTCTTTGCACCGTTATGCAATAGATAAAAGGGGCTATTTCTAAGAACAGAAGCTGTGTTAATTTTATAGCAATCAACCAAGAAAGGAGAAAAACCCACGGAGAGAAAGAGCAGTATGTACCTGGCAGAACTGTCAACCATGCAGAGTGAAAGGATATCCCAATAGAATTACCCGCCAAGCACGTATACTCCCCAGCATCCTCAAAAGTTACATTCCGAATATAGAGAACCTCAATCTCTTTGTCCGTGGTGTTAACACCGGCGGCCTAGAAAACAAAGGAAGCAAGAAAAAGGCTAGACATAGGAATGATTGTGGAAGGGGGCCTTGGAACCAAGAGGCCTCGTACCAGCGGCTCCAGGGGGTGCCGGCCATCAGGAGATTCCGACTGCAGCCCATCCACAAAGCCCACAACCAAGAGACACTGGCCAGCTCACCTCTGCAGGCCCATCACCACACCGGCGTCACCACCTAGACATGCATGCAATTGAACACATGGAAAAATGAGCCCACAGAGTTCTCTTTGACTTTGCTTTCATTTGGATTTGGGGGTGTGTTTCCAAAGTTTGTTGCCCAGAGGGCTAATCTAGGTTCTGGTCCTGTTGGATGCAATCTCCCATTGTGAAAAAAAGGGGAGGTTGTTCTGTGTGATAGAACAAAACATGGAAGAGAAACCATGAGGTAGTCGGCTCACACATCCCTCGGGCTCCATGGGAACCAAGGTGGGAGGTTATCTTAGTTACCAGATTTTGGTTAATTTCTCTCAGGCTAAAATCATCTCATCTTATAGAAAAACTAGATTTATTTTTGTTGTTGTTGCTGTTGTTTCCTTTTTCAATATGAATGTCTGAATGTGACTAATGATAAGAGAAAACTCAACCTTTTGCTTCCAATATCATCTAGTCACACATTCACTAGAAGATAACCAGCCTCCAGTTTCAGATAGGATTGGGTATGAAATCAAAAAAACAAAACAAAACAAAACAAAAAGTTTCATTAGGCAAATCCTATCACTCGAGCATTAATCTACAGTGTGAGTCCTGACTAATATTCAGATACTGCAGACACAGCAGGCATGCAAACTCCAGGTTCCATTGGCACTTAGACACAGTGCTCATGGGGAGTGTGCAGTCCAAACACGACAGACCAGAAAGGAGGGCTTGGAAACAGGATGGGGGTAGACGGTAATCTTCAAGCACTTTGAACATTGTGGGCATTTTTCCATGGCTGCTGGCATGATGCCAGCTGCACCACCAAAGAAAGATCATTATAAATATACCAAGGCCACAAGAGTTATTCTAGAAGCTGCCTGCTGCCTCCCAAAGCACCGAGTCTTTTCAACTTCTATATCCAGTTTTCTTTTAAAAAAAATAAAAACAAAAATAAACACAAACACAAAAACGTTGTTACCTTGCTGTTTGGGCAGGACAGTGAGCCAGGCAGACTGGTTGGCCTGCCCTATATAATTGGAGACCTTACATATATATTCCCCAGCATCCATCTCCGTCACATTGAACAGAGCCAGCACTTCTGCATTGGAGCTATTTATCCCCGAGTGCTAGAACAGACATAGGAAAACAATATAATGGCCAACCAGGAAGGACTCGGTGCTGCCTATGGTCCCATCACCAACACACCACAAGACAACAATCTCCATTAATTACTTCTAAAGGGCTGTGGGTGAGAAAAGAACAAAATAAACCGAGCGGTGGAGAACAGTAGTGATCTGATAGTACAGGGCAGAAAAGGGTGAACAGCTGGTGGGATGGATGTAGCTCTCCAGGCTGGTCATCTTTCTCCAGCACTTTGGATCCTGGGTATTGCTTGCTAGAGAGAAGACTTTATTGGTTGAGAGTTCTTCATTAGCCTCCTGGAGCTCCTATAGTTGCATAGGAAGACTGTTCTTTGTAAGCACACTCCATGTGAGCATGGTAGATAGGCAGTCAGTGGCTTAGAATTGACAACACAGGCTCAGTTCACCATGCTGAAGTGGAAGCTAGACCCCCAAAATTAAAGAGGCTGAAGCCACAAGAACTTGAGGAAGGGGAAAAAGGGATTTCTTTTAATGAGAAATACAAAGAGATGGAAGTTTTCCCTATTCATTATTTTACAGATGCAGAAACATCCCAAGTTTATTCTCTGGACCACACCAAAAAAAATCAAAAAAAGGTAAGAGAGAATTTTTTTGAAAAAGGAAAGATTTGTTTCTAAAAGTTGGCTACTAAAATTTGATTCTAACAATAAATATGACATCAAAGATCACAAAAAATAAAACAACATCAGAATAACATTAGTACAATGTCTAGACCTTTCAGTTATTTCCATCTACTCCATCCCACATATACTCAGCACACTGCCTTGTAAGCCATAACCTGACCCAGCTTTAAAGATGTACCTCGGACTAGGCTGCACTGGCATCTCCTGTAAGACCTCAGGGCCGATCAACAGCTGAATCCTCTGACTCCAAGTGTAGGAGCCCTTCCCCTACTCCACAGGCCCCTTCAGAAGAGTTACTAGCAGGCCTAGTAGTTCTTTAACACATTCTACTGACTAGTCCATAAAGAGACCCCTCAATGAAACCCAACAGGAAATCAAAGAATCTTGCCCAATCCCCAAGGGAGCCCTCCTTGTGGGCCCCTTGGGATTCAGAAAATCCTCACCTTCAGGACCTTGAGGTAGGGCAGCCCATCAGGCCCATATTTACTGCCATTTTTTTCAACATGCTTGATCCACTGGATATGGGGCTGGGCATCGCTGTAAACTTTGCAGACGAACTCCACATCTCCTCCGACCACCGCAGAGGCATTTGCAGGCAGTCCAGCTTGGAGGATGGGCCGGTGTGGTGATCGCTCTGATAGAGAGAGGCAATGGGAGGGGGAGAGAAGGCAATAAATAAATTGTGTTGTCCAGAAGGCTGTCGAGGAACTCAAGCCAAAAAGGCCTCCCATCTGCTGGCGGTCTCCTTTGGAATAACACAGGGGCCCCATGCACAACACAAACGACTTCAAAGCGGATCACTGGAGCACAGCCCTTGTAAAGGATACTTTTTTAGAGAATCCAGAAAAGAACACTTTACATTGCAAGTTACAGACTACCGAATGAACAGGGGGAAATTCTTTATTTCAACAATCTGAGAGACAGATGGAGCTGGCGGAAGGACACTTACTCACTTATTTGGCTTGAGGTAATACCCAGATTCACTTTAAACACAAACTAGGCATCACAGGAGACTGACATGGCTAACTCTCTCTTAAGGTCACCCTGGATATCAAGAGAGGTTCTTCTATACATGATCTCTCTCAGTTCATTGCTTAAAATGGTCTGGGAAGTCTGGTATTCCCTGCTTTAAAAAGTAAATTGCAAACTAATGTCCTAAGTGATGATGAAACCAAACTACCTGGATCCATCCTTTTATCATGACACTACTCTTTTCTTTAGTTAGTCATTTATTTGACAAGTACCAAGTGTCACTATGTGCCAGGCACCAGATGTGTATACATAGATATTCCTTAACTTTTTCAGATGTGGTACTAAAGAAACACAGGGACAGACTCCTGTTTCCAGGCTAAATTTTACAGTCTCAGGGGAGGCCCCATAGGAGGGATGCTTTGTCATTCTTTTCTAGCCTCAGAGAAATCTCAACAAAGCATACTCCTCCTTGTCTTACCAGAGGCTCCTCTCCAGATGAGAGGTGCTCTCAGAAGAATTGTACAGACAGATGGGGTCAGGTGTGCTGACAGCTACACTTGAGGTCCCTCAAGAACTAAATAATAGTCAATTAAAAATAGACTAAGAACTTTCTCCAAAGACAGACATACAAATGGCTAATAAGTAGTTGAAAGGATGCTTAGCATCTATAATCATTAGGAAAACTCAAATCAAAACTATCATTAAAAACATAGTAAGACAAGTTGAGGGCCTGGAGGGTGAACCTCTGCACCACTACTTCCTGTACTAGGGTAAGGTCAAGAAGTTTGGAGTGAAAAACCCAAAGCAATTCATCTGATCCTGCAACCCTCACTTCAGTGAAGATCTGAGATACATCCATTATAGGGCTATTCGCAACCAAGATTTTGATTTAATCATCTTCAATGCCCATCAACGGAAGAATGGGTAAAAACTTTGGTCTCTATATACAATGGGAAAACTAGCTTTAAAAAGATGGAAATCATGCAATTTGATGCCAACTGACAGCAGTAGTGGATCTGGAGGATATAATATAGGGAAAATACATCAGTCACAGGACAAATGCTGTGTGATCCCTTATAGGAGGGATCTAAAACTCTCAACTCCATATATCAGAAGAATAGAATAGCGGTGGCCAGGGAAGAGAAGAAGAAAAATAGAATGGGTAATCACAGAATATAAACTTTCAATCACATAAGATGAATACATTCTAGAGATCTGGTCTACCTAGGATTGAAAATGAGATACTATACACTTAAAGCTACATTAGGAGTATATCACATGTTACTAAATGAATGAACAAATGAATGAATTATTGAGTAAACAAGAAAGAATTAATAGGTTGGGCTGCTGCTTGATCTCAAATATAAAAGCACTGTAATTATAAATTTACTGGACCTTCCTCACAGCGGCTCTGTCATAGCTACATGTGCCCTAGTGGACAGCCCATTCACAAATATGTGCTTAAACACCCCGATATTTCCCCTTTCCTCTTTCTCCAACCATGAGTTCCACCAAACAAATATAGTTCAGACAGAGCTGGGCATGATGGCATACATTTTTCATCTCAGCACTTGGGGGGCAGGGACAAGTGGATTTCTAGGAGTTTGAGGCCAGCCTGGACTACAGAGTAAGTTCCAGCCAAGGCTATGTGGTGAGACTTTATCTCATAACAACAATAAAAAATAGTTAAGAGAAATAAGGAGAACTCCTACATACCATCACTACCAAACCAGCCCAACAATGGCTTCATGTTTGAGATTTCCTATGCGATGGACTAGAAGCAGCAAATTAGAATGATAGATCTCTAAGTCTTTCTGTATTGGGGCCTTTCCAATTAAACTATAATTCCGTGGAATTTGCTGAACCAGAGCCAGACCATATACAAATTGACTCTACTCCATAAGCCTGTTGCTGGCCCTTAAGGAACTTTTTTAAAAGCAAGAAAAAGTTTGAGCACATTTCATTCTGGAATCTTCCATCACTTCATAGACACCTAGATTTCCATACAATAAAGATAAGAATTTCAGAGCCCCGCAAACAGTCATTCATCTGCTCCTTTATCATCCATGTAGGCTGAGCAGAGAACAGAGAAGATGAACTGTTCATTTTTCTGATTGGAAAAATAATATCAAAACATAATTTCTTCACACATCACAGGAAAGCCTCAACTCTACAGGACGATGTGCTGCTTCTAGGCTGGGCAGAGCGACTCATGTGCCACAGACAATGACCAAGGTCTTCTTTACTCACAGCTGGGCCCTTTAATGTGGGAAGTACAGAGTTAAGTCCCCTCAACCATGTCCCCTCTGTCTTCACTAAGCCTATGTCCCAGGAGTTCTACCATCAGGATGGAAGCTCTCTGCTGGGGAGTTGCACCAGTCAAATTCACAAAAGATGCTCATTTCTACCTGTTAAATATCAAGAAGGTCTGTAGGGCTGGGGACATGGCTTTGTCAATCAAGGATCTTCTACATAAGCTGGAGGGTCTGAGTTCAACTCTAGATGAAACTTTAAAAAGCCAGGGTGATAGCACATGTCTGAGAGAAATTAAAGCAGTGGAGAGAGGAATATCCTTGGAACTCAATGGCCAGCCTCTACAAGTCTGTGAGTTCCAGGCTCAATGGGAGTCCCTGCCCATAAATAAATAAGTAAATCAGCAAATCAATACATACATACATATGTACATACATACATAAGTTGGAGGGACACTAAGGAGCACTAGTCTTTAGCTTCCACAAATGTATGCACACATGTACACTCACACACACACACACAAAGTGCTTATGTGTGCATATGAGTAGGTGTGTGTGAGTGTGTGTGTGAGTGTGTGTGTGTGTGTGTGTGTGTGTGTGTGTGTGTGAATGTCTTAGAGGCCAGAGGAAGACACCAGATCCCCTAACACTGGAGTTACAGGCAGTTGTGAGCCCCCATCATGAGTTCTAGAAACTGAACTTGGGGAGGTCCTCAGCAAAACTAGCGTGTGTTCTTAGCCACCAAGCTATCTCCAGCTCCAAGGAAAGAATTTTAGGTATCAGTTTATCCCTTGCCTTTGTTTTCCAATCTCGCACTTACAAATATGCTTTTGTACATGTGTGTGCATGAGCACACTATTGACACTCTTTCTTTAGAAACAGAACTACTACAAAATCTCTAAGGTTTTGAGCCAGATCTACTGAATTTCATGGCAAGCCCTTTTCCTCAGCTATATTTGTTTCTAATAAACTGTCTCACATGCAAACACTACACACGTAATACCAAATAACCCTGCCTGTGAACAAGGAGTGCTTTGAGAACGCAACATCTCCTCCTGCGCCAGCCTTGGGCAGGGAATCCGTCGCTGGGGTAACACTGGCAGGGCCTGGTTCAGAGCTTGCCGTTTTGTTTTACTTGTGGTCAAAGGGCTGCTGAGCTCCGGTTATTAAGTTATTCCAAGCTATCCGGACTATTTTCACCCAAAGGGAAAAAAGAGACCTTTGCGATGGTTCAATGTTATTGCATTTGCAAATTACAGCATACCAAATGTTACAGCTCGCAGTCTTGAATTCATCTTTCCAAATTTTCTCACCTTATACGAAATAACCTCTTAACTACTCCCTCTCCCCTCTCGGCTCTTTCTCACTTTGGGCAGAAAAAACTGCAAGTACGGTTGCTGTGTAATAGAAACCTTACACCGTCTCCCAAAACTTCTTACAGCTGCGCTCAGTATAAAATGAAACCTCAGAGAATGTTATTTAAAATGTTTTTTAAAAGTCAGTAGGCCTCATGTTTCATTTCTCCACATCGGGCTTTGATTTCCTTTGCAACCTTAGTCTCTGCCCTTAAACAAGTCGAAGAATGAGGCCTGAAACGTCTTGGAAAAGGTCCCAGGATGCCAACATCTGCCAAGTACCACGCTCCTCTTCTTGTCCTCCTCAGCCATCCATCTTCCACTGGTGTCAATAGACCCTTAATAACAGCTATGGACCTGCCAGTGTTGAAGGTGCATATTTGTAATCCCAGCACTCGGAAGCCAGAGACGGGAGGAACACAAGTTCAAGGCCAACATGGGCTACATAGTGAGACCTTGTTGGGGGGGGGGGGGTGTCAGCAAAAGGCAGCTGCCAGGAAGTTGTTAAAGTGCATGGAAAACCTCTGGAAAGTTGGGGTGCAATCAAGTCAGATGGCTGATGAGGAAGCTTGGCAAAGCAGGTGGCCTTTCCAGTGGACTTAGGAAAGAGGGTGAGGGGCCGAGAATGACAGTCCTCTAGAAGCTCATCCAGCCCCAAGCGAATCACAGCCCGCACGTTTGCAACTTTTCACTGAAATAAAAGGGTTAGTCTGCGAATTATTTCTGGATGAGAGTCTGAAGCCCGGTGCTGGCTCAGCTCTTCTACGTGACACCAAAAATCACATCTCCTCCAGCAGGCAGGATTTACAGTGTGAGGCCAGCGTCTCTTATGGCATGTTGAACTCTCGGATATTATAGAAAACACATTTTTCTTTTTTTCCACGGGAGTGAAATAAATACACAAAAGGCAGATAGGCTGATGGGCAGCTTACCTCTATTTCCTGACTGCAATTTAAAATAGTTACAATTTGGACTTACAGGTTGTAGGTACGTGGACCCAAAGAGGGGAGGGAAAGGGGGGGGCTTTCAAGTAGCCCCTGTGTGAATTTCAAATT